CCTTCCTGGTTCGGAAATTGCGTACATACATATCTCGTAGCCCTGGGGTAGTATCGGGATCAATGAGGCCTTTGGGGGATGCAGACTCGGCATATTTCCCTGATTTACCCCGCTTAAATTGATACTAATTATGGGACAAATGGTCTATAGTTTCCGCTAATAATGCCTCATCTAATTATTAATAGAACTTTGGAAGGATTTTGGTCATTCGATCTATCAGAAATAGGAAATCATATGCTCCCTCATTTTCAAGAACAGTATAATTAACTTTAATTAAGGCGCTTAAGTGTTGCTAATTAGGGAGTCTTTGCGGAGTCATTGCTAGATGTACCCTTATCACAGTCCGAGCGTCAACATTGGCGCATTAGTGTTCCCCAGTCTGTCCGGGCCGGGCCCACGGTTGGCTATGAGTCCACCGTTCTGCACGACACCGATGACACTAAAATTTAGTCCGTCTTAGGGCTTATGATCAATCAGCGAATCAGAATTTAAAGAGGGAAGCTTGGCATGCGAGACCTGCTTCTTCATCACAGTCTAAATCTGCATGGTCTTCACCAACCATTTACTTTTCGGCCAATACCATCCAGTCCTGTCCGAATATTCCTACTAATTCAGGTTTAGTGTGAAAATGAAAATTGCCTGACTCGCAAGCATGGGCTGGTCACCTATCATTCTAGCGGTATCGATTTTTCCAACTCCAACAAACCAACAACCCCGCTTTCTCACAGTAAGCATAGGAATAATCCAACATGAGGTATTTTCGGATATTGTTGGTTGGTTGGAACATATGAGAAAATGTTTGTAGATTGTATCGTTGGGAAGATTGGAATCATCTTCTGATTTTTATTAGCCAAATATAGAAGTTTGACTGGCTGAAAGCCACACGAAAAAAAAAGCAAAAGAGAGGTAGGTTCTCGATAAAGAGCCTATCAGCATCAGGATGTGCCGTGTCTAGAGTTGCACTAAGTGGTAACTGAGGTACTTGAAAGTTGGTGATTACCCCCAAATAGTTGGGCACTAGCAGGGATAATTCGCAGGTCCGCTGTAACTCTCGTGCATCATGGGGGCCCCAGTCGTCCTACCAGAGATCACTATCTGCTAGCTGCAGACGCCACTTTAAAGGATCGTCTCTGGATACCTGTCGTCCGTCACTCTTCGTGCTTGCACCCCTGTCGTGTCCCAAATTTAGTTTGAGGACCCGGCCAACAACCTGGGCTTCGAAGTTGATTTGCCGCTGGGGTTGGATTCCCCACCTGATGTTCGCATATTCTTCCGACTCGAACTAGGCTCCTCTACCGCTTCCAACAAAATTAGAACCATGCATGCCAGGGCCGCTGATCGTAGCTCAGACTTATAACTCGCCGCATCCGAGATCTTAAGATAAAAGATATCCTTTGAATCCGTCTCGAAGCAATTTGTTTTCCATCCTTCGTTTCCATCTTGCCTTATATTATACCCTTAATAGAGTGTATAAGCTGCCGGTTCAGCTTTGCCATTGCGCCTTCTGTTTAGTTGCGAATAAGGTGGCTGGTCCTCCTCATCAACTATATTATTCTTTCGCCGGCCGTGCCGCCCCCGCCTCCAAATATTTCGATTGCTTTGGTCATTGATTGACCTTTTCTTGTTGTCAATACTGGATATTGAGGATTGTACTGCAAAAATGCCAACTTCAACCGCTTCCGGCGTCGCTTCGACAAACAACGTGGATTCTCCTACTGCGGAGACGTCTCTCAATAGGCAACGAGACAAGTCTGGACGTTTGCACAAAAGATCTCGCTCCGGTATGAACATTTACGCTTGGTCGACTATATTTTTCGGGTTATTAACATCGACAATTTACATAGGTTGCTTCACGTGTCGCCTACGAAGAAAAAAATGTGACGAAGGTCATCCCTCCTGCAAAGCCTGTGCAAACCTCTGCATCAAGTGCGAATATAAACGGCCCATATGGTGGAGCAATGCAGAGCAAAGAAGGCAACAAAAGGAACGGATCAAAATCAAAATAAAGCAGACCAAGTCATTGGAACGAAGTGGCTCTCTTCAAGGTGCGTCAACTCAACTATTGAATGGTTTTATTATTCCTCAATCAAGTTCTAATACCTTCCTCAGAGCATATGAATCGTGCCCTCTCATCATCAAGTTCTGGAGGACATGACCTCGGCCGCCCTATCTATACTGATCCCAATCTCGCAGCACACTTTTCGACTCCTGGATTCGTACCGATATCTTATTCTCAGAATTATCCTTACGAAGTTGATGTCAAAACTGAACGCCAAACATTTGTGAACAATGTACCTCTGCGACATGACTCTTCGGTTTCAACCTTCAATGCGATGGGCCCGCCACAACTTCACGCCACACTTCCCACTTTCCCATCAGATGAATGGCTTCAAGAAGAATATTCCGAATCTTCTCGTCAATTCTCCCAGGCAAATACATTGATGGGTGGTCAACGTGTCGGTCAATCTCATGCCTCTCTACAAGCCAATATTCCCGTCGATGACTATGACCGGCCTCTTCTGGATCATTTCGTGGACAACGTTTTGCGTATGATTTTCCCAATACTGGAGGTTCACCAGCGTGGTTCTGCACGGGCTCGGTCTGTTCTTCAGTCTCTAGAGACAAACAAGTCATACTTCCATTGCTGTCTCAGTGTCGCCGCAATTCACCTCAAAACAACAAGTCGACTAAATGGTGAACAAATCGACCACGATATTATGCGTCATCGCTATGAAGCTATTTCTGAGTTGTGTAAAGCACTGAATAAGGATGCTGACCATGACCACATTCTGGATGCGACTCTTGCCATGATCTTCTTTCATTGCTCGGTTGGTGCGCCCGATGATTATCTCCCTGATATCCCTTGGAATGACCATTTCCAAGCTGCATCAAACCTGGTCACCAAACTGGATTTAACCAACCAATTAATTCCATGCGGTCCGATGCACACAGTGCCCCCCTTTAGCATGTCGCTAACCACCTGGATTGACATTCTGGGTGCCACAATGCTTGGGAAAACACCCCAGTTTGCTCACTCTTATCGCGCTAAGCACTTAAGTGGAACTTCCTCTGGACTCCGAGAACTCATGGGATGTGATGACCGAATTATGTATCTCATTTCCGAGGTTGCATGTCTAGAATCACTCAAATTGGAGGGCCGCATTGACTCCGGCGCTGTTTCCACACATGTCACCGCTTTGAGCGAACAGTTGGAATACACCCAAGATGCCGACACAACACTAATGAGCCCTTACTCAGCGGAAACTGGAGCAATTCGTCCCGATGCATTGACAAAAACCATGACTGCCATCTTCCGTATTGCCGCCTGCATTTACCTCTGCAGCCTCGTTCCTGGGGGCGATCGCAACCAGACCAGAACCATTAATCTTGTTAATTCATTGACAGATGCCATGTCCTACATTCCAGCAGGACCTTTTGGCTTCGACCGCTCTCTTGTGTGGCCACTTCTTATCGCGGGTGCTTTCTCCACTCCCTCCAGCTCATTCCGTCAAGTCTTGCACAATCGAGTGATTGCCTTAGGAGACCTTGCCGAATTAGGAAGTATTGGTCGCATGTACCAGTTGTTGAATGATTACTGGCGGCTATCTGATGATCCTGTCAGCCCGTCCTTTCCTTCGGGGGCAAATGAACCCGAGCTAGGATATCAATCTGCGGAGACGAGACAGGATGCTATCCCTTCTGTTCCTCTTTTGTCTCCTGGCATGCGAGAAATCAAGAGGCAGCAGGTTCACTGGCGAGATGTCATGAACCGGAACGGCTGGCGCCATCTTCTGATTTGAATATATCGCAAGAGAAAGTTGCAACCTCCATGGTTAACCCCATATGCGGGTTAAAGCACTAGAGCATTCAGTGGTGTCTCCCGGGTTCTCCCGCGGTCTTGTTTATTGAAGAAATACTCGGGTTTTTATATATCCTACATAGTTGAGCAAGAGCTGGTGTTTTTGTTATTGCTTTCGGGCGTTTGGGCTTCACGTTGGATTATATCCCTGACTCTCGCTTTTGTGCTTTTGTGCTTTTGTGCTTTTGTGTCTTTTACAAGCGTTACCTAGCTTAGGTTAAATCAGATTTGCCTTCGGTGTGAACTCCGGTGTTTTCCATATGCGTTTCCTGGCTGCCAACGATCCCTCCTCAAATTCGCTACTTCTCGACGTGGCTTGAGACAAGATAATTCCCGACGAATGCCTCCCATTAGAGGTTGTGCTTCTTCCCTGGGAGTCTCCATTTTGCATAAACACATGAATTTCCTTGTTATGCAGCGAAAGCTCTCACTTTGTTGGTGGTGGATAGGATTATTATAGGGGGAATATGTCTCTGTACTCCATTCACTCTACTGGCCTAGAGATTAAACAATAAATACCCTCTTCTACTGCCTCATATCAATACCAAAATAAACATTCTCTTCAAGGGCAAGCGCCTGACCCCAGCAGACAACACGACACTTGGTCAATCCCACAACTCCCTCATTGCTAGTATGGCCCTGTTTCATAATATGAGAGGCGCTTTTTGATGGTTTTGTCCTCGACTAAGATAGCACAATATCATTTAGGTGAATGGGCGGTAAATAGACAAAAATAGCTCCCTATCGTTGGGCTACGGCCATACAAATTTCGAAAACAATGCTCATCTGGCACTTGCAATACTATCAGGGTATAGTTTGCGTCATGAAACAAGGGTCATATCCTGCAGCGATCCATTGCGGAGTTGAAGCATGTTGGATAATGTACGATAGTTCTTCAAAGGGTGGCATTAAGGGGCTGGTGTAAAGAAGGTCCTGCAGAACTGGTGTCTGCAGGCTAACCGCTGGTTCAGAGAGGGTATCATTGGACAATAATTGAAGCCAGTGGCCTCAGCGATTGATGAAACAATTGCTATGTTTACCATGCCGTGCGTTCGACTGGAGCCCTAGCTGACTTGGGAACCCCACAACTATTGGCACTTTGAACTTCTGGTCTGTTGTACAATATCGAGCCGCTAATGTCATGGATGCCGCGCGCTCTGATGGTAGCGAACCAGGAGGGGCGATGTGCCGCAAGTGCACGGTTGCTGAAGAAACCAAGCCGCCGGTCGACGCCGTCGCGTGGAGAATATTTTGGAAAAATAGAGAAAGGGTGATGCTCCTGATCCAGGAGGCGCGCGATAATGCGACCGCTGTTTTATCTTAAGCCTTTTTCGTTATTGAGGCGGTTAGGTTACTTGTCTGTCTAGGTAGGATTGCTGGTCTATATAATAAGACTCGAGATTTCCTCCTCGTTGATTTGTACTCCGTACATAATTATCAATCCTCTTTTTGTTCTTTGACTTGTCTTTCATCTTTTATCCGTTATCTTTCACCTTGCTGGTGTTCATTCATTCATTTTCTTAACCAAGTGCTGGTCGCTTGTGTACGTTTCTCATCCCAACCAGACTATCGTTGAGGCTTGCAGTTCAATTGGGGGCGAATCCTCTCATTTTGCTCAGCCCCATTAGTTTGTTTCGTCCGGACAGCAGGACTGGTGAGAGTCCATTCGGGGCCAAATACGCGATTGGCTACGCTAACCCGTTTTGACTTAGTCGATAAATTACGTATTGACCGATACCGTCCAGTACGGTATAGGTTTTACGGTTTTGTACAATACCGTCCAACGTTCGTGTCCTACTCTCCATATAGAAAAAGATCTCCTCAGCCCTCCTGAGACTTTGCTTCTTGGTAAGACCTACTTATTTCCCTCTTCGACTCTGTCTTCTCGAACATTATCCTGACCTTTGTCTCCATCTATACTCAGACATCTTGTCGTTTTTCTTTGATCAAGACGCGAGCGACCCGCTCTCGTCGACCCGCGCGCCCTGCCACTAGTACTTCCCTCCAAAGCAGCCTACCTCGACCTTTCTGCACTTTTTCCTTCCAACTTTCAAATCACCCATTGAGCAAGATGCCGGTCCGAAAGCCTGATTTACATCCTCTAAAGACGCCGAAGACCTTCATCTTCCCTTCAGAGATACATAAAGAGTCCAAGACCCTCACCGTCGATGACATCAAGCGCGAAGATGGAAGCGCAACGCCTATCACACCCCCACTGGCATATACCGATTTCCTCAACGCCTTAACACCTGTCTTCACAAGCCCTGTCAGCGCTGGAGGCTTCCCAAATTTCTCGATCGAAAAAAGTGATCCGTCCCCAATCTCACAGCCGTCTACTGCGACAAGTCCCGCACTGTCCCCCGGGGTTTCTGTCAAGTCGCCTGCCACGCCAGCCATCTCTCTCCCACCGCCCTCCCCTTGTACTGTGAAGTCGGCCAAGGCTCCACCTGCGCTACGACGACTACGCATTCCTCAGTCACTCAAACCATTTTCTTCAAAAGACTCGCCGCGAACTGCCACCCCGTGTAGTGCATCTCCGTACAGCGCGGGTCCATATAGTGCGACCCAATGGAGCGCACTTCCTCGCAGCGCAGCTAGTCTTCGATCGCCATTTTCCCCATCAGATTGGAAGCTCAGATATCTTGATGCACCAAGAAGTGCAACCACTAAGGCAGTCAGTGTCCGACAAGTCGTGACCCGCACGATTACATACAAGCGTACCCCGCTTGATCCCCCGCCAAAGGGAAAGAGACGCAAGACTCAAGAATGTCGAGATGTTTGAGCTGGTATCTTTCTCTTCATTCACGATGTGCAGTTTTTTTATCTTGAATTTGATTATATGTTCAATTTGCGTTTCGGCTTTGAGGCAAAGCGGCTCGTGAAAGTTTCTTCGGGCTCTGAAACCCATACCAGAAACTATCGTCTAATGTTGAAATCTACGAGTTGACCCTTGATGGTTCGGCTTTGGCATTTCCATTCATATGTTCTATTGTGAAAGTGGGTTCCTTACAAGCGCCAGGGACAAGGAGGAATCGGGGATGCGGAGTTGGTTGGGTTTGAATTTACAATCATGGCGTTGTTTTTGTGGGCGATATGACAAAACTTAGCCTGGGAAACAAACTTGTGTCCTGCATTGTACTGTCTGTCATCGGGCGGCTTCGTTGGCAGCTTGGGGCACACGATTCGGGCTCTGCTTTTGTCTTGGCTCTTCTATATTAGGCGTCAACATTGGTCCAATGACCGATCCGGTAGCATTTACGGCGAATATATTTTGGTGCATTTAGGTCTTACTGCTTATATTTTGCATATCTTTTGCAAAGTTTCACTATATATGTTCCGCAATTATTGACATATGATGAAGGAAAATACATCGCCTTGATGTACTACAATATTACGTCTACAAAGCCGAATCTTCTTCAAATACGGTACTTTTGTAGGCTACGGAGGTCCGGTCAATGAAGCTTAGTGTGAGAGCCTCATCTATCTGTGGATTTGTCTCAGGCCGAGGCCTTGGGGCTATCTATCAGGCGGAGAATTTCTTGCTCAGGTCTATCCTATCATGAGCTGAGATATCACCGACAACTTAACAGGGCTAATGTCCAGCCACATCCACGTGTCGGATGCATTTAACGGTAACTAATTATGAAGCGGGAAAATCCAACAAAATATCCAACATCCGCGGGGGACAGGGGACATGCCTACTAGCGCTATGCTGGTTTACATTCTAACCTAAACAATGGGCCTCTAGTGTGTTTACTGGGCCTCGGATATTTTATTCTGATCGATCAAATGCGAACGTTCTGGCGTATCCCTATCTGTCTACCTATATTATCAAGATATTGAAGCTGCTTTCCTGAAATAATTCCGCTAGCCCGGACTTCTCATAAATATAGGAGTTCAAACGCTAAGCTATAACCCGGTAAATTAGATTCGCCTATAGAGATCCTATTCTGGTTGCATGGCTTCACAAGACTCGTATAGGTCCTTGCTTGTTAATCCGCCCCCAGATCCTGGCGCTACGAAAGGGATTTCAGACATGTCTAAAGGTCCATTGAGTGGCTCGGTAAGGTCTCATAGTACGGTTCTGACAGCTACAAGCATTTTTAATGGTCCATATGGTCTTTATTAGCACCTTTCTTTGTTGAGGCTGAGAGCCCCAGGCGGTTAGTTTCTTTCTCCCAAATCAGCCCTCGACCGCCACTGTCTGCCTTGCACCACACAACATACAACCCGAACTTGCTAATGGACCAAGTATCAAACCCTGACTCGCAGGATTGTAGCTGCAGTGAGGCTCAGCGCACAGTCATCGGTTTACGACGCCTAATTTGCACTAGTATTTTAATACTGCATCTAGGGTATGTCTATGTATTTAGGCAGATGTATTATGGTAAACTATGTAAGCTCAGTATTACTACATATATCGTTGTATGTATTAGAAACACCCGAACTCCAGATACAAAGATTATTTTGCTGGAACTCTAGATGAGACGAGTCGATCATTGTTTCATAACATTAGGTTGGGCTATCAGAGTATTTTGATAGTCCCCCACTTTTTGTGGCCAAGTTTATTACCCCTCCGTTAGTATGTACAATTAATGTCCCGTATCCGGGAGGTTCAAAGATACCGAAGTATACACCAATGTATGGAATCGCTTTATTACTACAATTTCGATTCCATACATTCACTCTAAGTCAATTGAGTAAGTCTGATATATATAAAAATAATAAAGCTAATTTTGAATTAATTTATGACCAGTAAATAATCTATTTTTCGATATGGCTTCCACCTACACTCGGTTCAAGTGTGTTGCTCAATACATACTGTTACTGGATGTATTAATACATACATGCTCTTACGCAAATGTGCCGTGATGGATCAGACTCAATCAGCACTCTTGAAAGCTTCTCCCTTTTCACATCAACCTAAAGCAAGTGATGTGTTCAGCTATGACTGACCATTGAGGATGCATAGGAGAACATCTGAATCATTTGACTCGGAGATACTTGCACGCTGTTCCACATATGGCTTTGTGCCGGTGATATCCCTGCAACCTTTAAGCGCCTACGCTATTCTATATCTGTACTAGTGGTCCATATTTGCGGGCTCGGAGCCCGTCGAGCCCCGCTATTAACCATGGTTGGATCCACGAAGCCCCTTCCAAGGTTCCAAGGTTTGGACCCACTGTGGTATGTTTATGTACTCCAGCGTTGACTACCTAGGTGCTTTGTCTGGTGTAACGTGGCAACCTTGATATCTTGCTCCATACAGTCAAAACTGGATCATTTTAACTTCACGTGGGCTAGTATCGAATAATGTCAAGGAATTGCCCAACTAGACTTCCATGGCTTGACCATTTCAAGTACTAGCTGTATTAGTGGGCTGTTTCACAATGTCATCATTATGTAGGCCTCACTTCATATCTCTACCTACATGTATTTTATTCCATAAAAACGGTGAGGTTGATTATGATGATGTCGGGGCAAAGGCCGGTGTGCCACCATGCAGTACCCTTGTAAGTACATACTGACCGTACTGTAGGTAGCGTGAAGACTCTTTTATTAGATGTCCATCCCAGGCTGCATGTTGAGTAAAGGGGGATATCCTAACCAATGATAGCAGGGGAATAGGCGCTGTGATTATATGTGCATAAATTGACTAGCTTCCTTGGGAGGAGGCCAAATTCCAGGCTCGTGATCAGATATTTTACCTTCGCCAAGCGAATGTTCTAATTTTACCCTACAAGGGAGGCTTAGCTTAATTCTGTAATGTTATTTTTGGAACTCGTCAGGACGTCAACTTCACATCACCCATAGTATATCCCGCTATGTATAACATCTCTAGGACAGGCTAGATAGCAAAGAAATGCCTGTCAATTTGACTCGACCCAAACCTTTCTTTCTATTCTGGTTGCTATACCAACATTATATTACACACCACCCTAGGAATCTGTGATAGCGGCAAAAGCTGATCAACTTTGTGACTTTTCGTAGCTTTTTATGTTCTTTTTTTGGTATCTTGTCCTGCCTTGTGCGCCAATCATTTTGAATATTCTGATCAGCTCGAACCTATACCAAACAAGTGAACCATGCCCTTGCGTGTGGAGTACCTCAAGTATCCTCGAAAGACTATCCATAGGCGAGCCCCGTTCTTCGTCATGGGTGATCAGGATGAGTGTCCACCGTTCCAAGAATAGAACCCATCAAGTTATTATGCTTATTTTCTTCCAGGTGGAGATACACTTTGCGCTCATCAGCTGTTGGATCCCTGTCAAATGATTCAATAGGCCTAACAGCGATGCCGCGGAACATCCGAAGTGCATGCTATCTGCGCCTCTGGTCAATCAATGTTTCTATGCCATTGGTCTAGGAAAGCTCATCACGTTTGATACTTTTATCTCCATTTCGGGAGAGTTGAAGTTGCTAAACTTAGCAATGAGGGGTTTCCAATTGCACATCTTCTGCCCTATATCGCAGTTCCTGCATCTTAGGCGACGATCAATGCTACCGTTCTTATTGAACCGACCAATTAGGGCATTGAGCTATGAATAGGTTGCATGTTCTCTTTCACTAGCGCCTTATCCTCTCAACTAACAGGTTAAGCTGCCGCCGAGTCCATCATCTGTGAAACCGAATGATCAATCTACAGGTGTCCAATGTGCGAACTACATGACAGGACTGCAATGTCGGATGCATTTTTTCCAAAAATATCTACTTTTTGATGGTTCTCCGCTTCTAATACACCCTTGGTTCGTATTTCTCCCGGTTGAAAGCCGTTGTCCATCTTTCTGTATCATACAGTATGATACACACGCCTTTGTTGACTCGGATGATATCCTGATATGGAATAGAGAATCTAAATTAAGGATACCATCGGTAACATCATGCATGCTCGTTTAACTTGGAATTAGGACATCTTGCAATGGAGTGGTATTAGTGACTTGGAGAAACGGGGATCTTGCAGGCTTTGGTCTATTCGCCGTTCACTCAGATCCCACTAACCATCTTCAATCCTTTTTTATTCCAAAGTTGTTTCATTGCTGGCTTACGACAAGTACAAGCGACGAACCATTCCTCTCTTTATGTGTTTTATATTCTACGGCAGATTGCACAGCTTGCTGCTGAATGAACTCACACTTCTGCGGTCAAAGATGGAAATATGATCCTATCAAAGGCGATACAGGGGTGTACTTGAATCAAAGCCTTGGATTGGTGGTGGATATAAATAGAATGCATTTTCTATGCATGAATGCGGGGTCTATCACACTTGCCTCGACCATGTGTCCTTAATGGGCCTCAAAAACATGATCTATTTTTGTGGTTATCATGGTCCATTGAGGGATTTTCTTCCCAGATACTTTATTTTCTGGACATATAAGGCTGGTCCCCCCAATTGATGATGGTTCTAAAAACAGTCGGTAGTTATTGACTTCTGAATCAGTACAGCCGCTTTGGTTCTATATTTAGAGGCGGGGGAAACAAAGCCTGTGAGGCGATGTGATGCGATTGATGTCTGTGATATGCCCCTGTACTTGTGGCAAGTAGCGAATGATAACGAACAAAAACCAACCCCTGTTTAGATTGGTTAGGTATTTCACTCGAAGTGGGCAAAGGAAAATGGAGGGCACATAGAGGGATTCCCAAAATCCCGTGATCGACCCGCCCAAAGTCCTTCGTCCCTCTTTCAGGTGCTGATTCACCACTCCTTTCCCACTTAAACAGTTATTACATCTCTTGTAATCCTTATTCCTTGAGCCGTGCATCACTCTGAGCACCGTACGAGTCAACCGATTTCACATTCTGTACACCCCCACGCCTAGAAAGTACAGTGTTTCTCTCCGATCTCATCCACAGCCATGGCTCAAGCGCCCCCCACTTTCACACCAGACAGCGAGTTTGCTGAGCTTGAAACCCCTCGTGGCCCCAAGTGCGGAAGTTTGTCAATAAATTCGTTAGCCCGGTTTGAATTCGAGGCTGGTAAGGGAAACGATGGCACTAAAATCCTGATGATTGAGTGGGAAGACGACGATCTCACTCGATCCTCGACCGATGGATCGTGGCATGTCTCTTGGGCTGGAAAGACTTCCATTATGCCCGCCGATGAACGGCCTAGTGATAGCTTGCGTCGCTTCTACTTCTTGCTTCCGCCCCATACCACCATCCCGCCTGTTGTTACGATTCATTATGAGCCGCGATCCACCCCGTCTAATACGACTGATTCCGCGACCCCTCCACCCCCGAGGCCACAGGACTCTTTCAGCCTTAATCCCCTACCCGCTATATTCCCCGTTGAACTGGGTGCGACGGGACGTACATCGGGCAAGAAGGGCGTGCTGCATACAATCTGGGCAAAGAAACGGCTTCGGGTTCTCGAGGCGGAGATTGCCGCCGAAACTCGCAACAACATTGAAGGCATTGCTCTGCACATGGCCATTCAAGAAAAGGAGTGGATTGAGGAAAACTTTGGAGTCGGGTCGCGCGATGTCGATTCGGTTGCCAATAGCCATGACTCCTCAAATTCATCCTCCATTTACCCAGCCACGCCGGTGTCGCCTATCAGCGGCAATAAGTTGAGCGACAAGCTTAAGGGACTAAAGCTGCAGACAAGTGAGAGGGATCTAGCTGTGAATAATGGTATGTATCCTTGGTCCCAATTCCTACGGTACTTATATCCTTGACACTAACCAAACCCAGGTTCAGCTTCCAATGTCGCCCATCTTCTTTCGCCTCAATCTCCTGATGTTGCCGTCCCCTCGTTCAGCTCCTTCCGCAACGTTGCGCATCAGCATATCCACTCGATGCCAACACCAGATACCAATCCCACCCCAACTCCAAACTCTCACACCAACCCCTCCGAGCCGGAACCACTCAAACCGGTTGCCGTCTTCCCACCTTCAGCTCTACAGGAAGCCCAGAATAACAGCGGCCCCGACGGGTTCACACCCATGGGGACAATCACGCGTACCCCGAGCAATGATTCCGGCGAGGAATTGTTCGCCAAGGCATTGAGCCCACGCTCCCCGGATCTCCCTCGGAGCCCATTCTCATTCCGTTGAACTTGAATTTCTTATGCATGATATGATACCACACCATCTTTCACGACTTGCGCAATGATTCCCCCTCTGCGTCGCCATACCATATGTTCACATTACATGCATCTATGATCATTTGTCTTTTCTGCTCTGTCCATACCATACGTTTCGGACACATCACGCCGTATTCCTGCTTTTTTTTCAAATGCTATCTTGTTTTTTTTTTTTGTATGGCCATGCCATACCATATCTATGATCACCATATGTACATAGACGAATATCAGATTCCATGCCCTCCTTGACAATTAAGAAAAAAAAAGGCGTCTCCAATGATTTTCTTTGCGACAGCAAATCCCTGTCTGCGTAGGCTACTAAAAAAGAAGATTATAATAGCTACCGAGCAAAACAAGTAATCACACCATCCCACGCCGAGTATTCATATCCCTAAGACAAACACGAACAAAAGGAAGAGAAAGCAACCAACTAGAATCAATTGCTCTTCTTACGCTGACTTCCCTGCCGACCCGACTTCCCCGCAGTCGCAGTCGACGAACCAGAAGCAGTAGCAGTAGCATCACCAGACTCCTTCTCGGTCTTCTTGCTAGTAGCAAACGATTCATCCTCCTGCGCATCCTTGCGCTCCGCATACCACTGACCAGCCTGCAGAACCAAGATGCCGACCAGGACAAGGGCGAGAATAGTATTGCTAGCAGAAAGGACCTTGAGCGAGTCCTCGCGACCGAGGATCTGCTCATTCTCGTCGGCGGAAGTAGCGAGCTCGGAGCCGTATTGGCCGGCAGAGGCGAGACGCAGGCCCTTAACGATATTGGCGATGTAGACTGTCACGCCGCACATGTAGAGGACCAGCGAGGCGCCGTCGAAGAGCATGTTTGATTCGGAGGGCTTGTAGAGCTTTGTGAGGAGGCCGGCGAGACCGAGGAAGATTACGATGTGCAGGATGCGTGGGATGAGCGGGGGCGAGGCGTGCAGGAAGCGGAGATGCGCTTCGAGATAGTCATAGTGCGCGGCGGGGGTCGTCACTGTCGACCACAGGATCGGGTAGTCGTAAGGGAAGAGGGAGAAGATAATGCCCAGGAAGAAACAGGTTGCTGGTTGGGTAAGATTGGGTTAGTTTTATTACAGTCTCGTGGCCTCTTTTGCCGTTGGGATCCGGGGAAGGTGGTGATGCGATGGGACTTACGGCAGACAATGAGGAAAGTCGCGAACGACCCGCTTTTGAAGGCCATTGTGAGAATTTAGAAAAGCTGAGATTATTTTGAAGGGAAAAGAAGATGACCAGGGGCAAGGCTGATGTCCTCTAGGTATCGCTAAGCGGGTGCCAAGCCCGGGGCCGAGAGATAAGGATGTTTTTACAAATTGAAGTCCGAGCATTTGATGAGATTGGAAATTGGAAATTGGATTCATTTAATCATTTGATCTGAGACTTGAGAAATTGATTTTTGATAAATAAGAGTGTATATGATACATATTTCAACGCCTTTAGCGCCGTTTCATAAATGATGCGAACAATGGTATCTTCCAGAATATCCCGTAAATGCAAATGTACATAACAACATCATCGCTGGTATCGAGGCAACGATTCGTCTGCATGCGCCGTCCCACCGACCAGCTGGTCGTCCTCATCAAAGACCGGCGCACTGGGCCCAGCGCTGGGTTCCTGGCTGCTAGGCTCGTCTTGGGGTGCGCTCGCCTGCTCCTGGAGTCGATGACGCTCAAGCTCTTGTTTATCGTCGGCTGATACACGTGGCTCACTGGGCCCAGCGCCGTTGGCAACAACAGTCTGTAGGGATTCCGCAGAGCGCACAGTATGCGGCCCTCCGTTTGTATCTGGTGAAGGCACATGCTGGTAGTCTTGAAGATGATGATCATCTGGCAAAACTGGCGCGGTCGGGACCTCCATTGGTGCTGTAGATGGCCCTGCCTCATCTTCGTCGGGCGGTTGGCTAGGCAAGAGAGCCTCTTCGTGACGTCGTACCCGTGTTTTCTCGTCAACGGGCTCCTCAACCTCTGGGGGCGCAACCATAGGGTCCATCGGCTGGAAATGTTCACCGTAATCTTCAGGATACTCTGCCCAATCTGTCTCCTCGGGGAAATACTCCTGTGTTCCATATTCACCATGAGAATTAGGCATTGGACTCGCCTCTGGCCACTCCTCCCCATCAACGGGGTTAAGTAGAATAGTAGATGCAGGAGGTGCCGTTTGTGATGTGGTCGATTCACCGGCCGTGGATGATGTACGTTTCGGCGTTTTCCCTCGTTGTGAATCACGCGTCCCAACCACAACTTCGAAGGCCACTGAGATCACACCTTTTCACGGCGGATTGCGTCCGTGTCCAAGATGTTGCCGGCCCAGTTGGCAGTAACGCCGCTCGAATCGGTTGGATTGAGGGCCTGCCCGCTGGGAGAAAATGTAGTACCACCGGAGACCATGTTGAAACGCGGGATGAAGCGGTCTGGCGAAGTGATTTTCCCTCGTAGGTCCGTTACGACTTCCACGTAGTACCGAAAATTGATCATGGCTCCCGGTACTCGTGTGATAGTTGGAAATGCGTCTTCGGGTATTCGGATGGAAGTTTTTACAATTGCAGTCATGGTACTTGGATCAACGATCAGTGGCGCGAATGTCTGCGACAAATCTTTGCGAAAAGTGCTGCTTGTCCGACTTGTTCCCAAGGTAAGTCCTCCAAGTCCCGTCCGTGATCGCGGATAACAGTCTTCGTATACCGGCTTTTTCCCGGCCACCGTAGTGCCGATGGGAATTGCAGGATGAAGATCAATGCGACCTTGGCGGTATAATGTGACCATGATTCCATGGGCACTGCGCACTTGCTTACAATGGTTGATCGTGACTGTAATGGGTAGGGTATCGCCGGGGAGCACGCCGGCGCGCAAAAGCTCTGCCTTTGCGGTGATGGTTTTATCTGAGATAGACGGGGTCACGCTGCGACCCTCGCTATTTTGTCCTGTGCTTGCGGATGAACTGGGATCGCTGGCGATTCGAAAGCTTTGGCTGCTTTCGCTAGGCCGGCTGGATGAGCTGACATTGCTTGGTGAGGGGCTCAGCGGTGGTCTGGTATCTACAGACGGTGCGGCGCCACTAATAGGGGTATCGATCGAGGATGTGTCCGGCGCTGCAGTTGCGTCGGAATTTGTTGATTTGGCTTTTCCCTTCGGTTTTGGGCGCCTTGAGATCGGTTCCAATGTAACTATACGAGCCCTGGGTGCAGGGAAGGGTGCGATGTCGATATTTTCTAGAAGATTGACCCGTCTTCGGCATGTGAGTGTAGGGTTCATGGTGGTCGGTCGGGTAAGGGTAGAGGTAAGTGAGTAGCCGATGGTTCCGCGTTCAAACTGCAGTTGTCCATTTGATTAGCATATTTGGATCAAAGAAGGTAGTCGCATCAGCAAACGCACATTTATACTGCTGGGAAGCGCGTAAGGAGGAAGGCCCATTTCAAACCGAAACTTGTAAATGCCCTCCTTCAAGCGTCCATCGCCACAAAGAACAACCTCATCCTCAAACAAGGTTGCTAGCCCATTGCCCAAGTATTCTGCGCCTCGTCGACCTCGCCCGGGTCCTAAGAACCCCAAGTCGGGGGTTGCTTCTCCTGCCGGAATCGCATTCTTGAACACCTTGACATAGCCATGAAGACATACGACTATATGTGTGATGCGAACGGGTCGTACAACGGTCACAACGACGGTGCCTTTGATGATATCACCGGGGAAGTAGGAGCGCCATGGGTCATCTGGGTCGATATAGAAGTCGGTGATGCCTCGATTTCGTTGACCGAGCGGGGAGCGAAACTTGGACAGGAGAGAGTTGCGATTCCGACTGGCCGGCAACGTGGGTTGGGTTGGAGGGTTGGCGGACATGACACACAGCCGCCGTTTACTGCATCTATACAAGACAACGTGGCAGATGTGAGAGGGATGGGGATGATAAACTGTAACCGTTTTGGCACCGATCGGACGGATAGGGACGCCGGTATTATCTGGGGCAGCACGGAATGGCGGGGAATGGTCGGACAGACCAGTAGGTTGTCAGCCTACGTCAAGGAATCCAATCAAGCGACGCAATAAGTCACAGTGCTTTTGTCGTAAGGTCTGGCGTGCAGGACCAATGCACTGGACACGATCTGATTTCCAAAGGTCCACGGAATGTATCCTTGTCCACGCGCAATAGATTCCCCGGGTCCAAAGAAAGGAATGGGGGTATTATGATCGAGGGTCACTGCACCACATTGTTTCTTGTGACATCGAAGCGCGAGGCAGGATTTCGACGGTACCCCCGCTAGGAACTCGCAGCGTATCGGGATGCAAGGTCAGGTCGCAAGATAAGGGAGTGGATATTGCCGGTATGAATGAAAGGCTTGAAAGGGGGCCAATAAGTCAGTATCACGAGATACTATGCTGTAGTCGGGAGTCTAGAACGGGGGTCGGGGGGTCGGAGACCGGGGGAGAGAGGGTAAGGCGTAACTGGAGATGGCGCGAGATCCGGAGGAATGTGGGACTCGAGAACGCACGAGCCAATGTTAGGAGACGATGAGCTAGTCGAAAAGGGGGGAAGAAAAGAGGAGAGGAGAGATGTAATAAAAGAGATGAAGAGAGAGTGAGAGTCGGGAGTTCGCGATAAGCCTCCGAGAGGCGGAGAAAGGAAGGATGGTTATTCGCGTGTCGCACGGTCAAGCTTCTCTTGGTACTCAAAGGTGGCTCAGCTAGTTTTCTGTCCCCCCTTTTCTTTAGGGCAATTTTATGGATTATCACTTCTTTTTAATCTTCAAGATTTTTTTTTAAAAAAAATAATAATAATGAATTTGGTTTCACGTTTCACATAATTTCCCCAAGGTTGCCATGTGCTAAGCAAACCTAAGCTTTTTTTCCCTCCCATCTTTATCCTATACTAGTTCACAAAGACCCTCTTCGTCCACGTACTCGTCTCCATAACATTCCCGTAAGATACTCTCAATGATTTGTCGATCTCCACTCGCTAATTTGCACAAATACTCCTCTAGGATGTAAATATTATCTGTCCACTGCAGTGCTTGCTGTCGGAACCCCGCTAACTCCTCTTGGACCTGCTTGACGCCCTTGCTGCTGAGCGAATTGAGGGGTCCGGAGAGTTGGGCCTCTGTAGTCCGTACCCGATCAATTTCCATTTGGAGTTGGGCTTTTTTGGCCATGAGGGAATCCCTTTCATCTTCCTCATCCGAGTCCTCCGCTCGGCGCATTGTCTCAGCGGCCAAACCCGCTTCTGCGTCGGTGTAAGACTTCCGAGCTTTCTCCACTTCCATAGTCAGTCGGCCTAACAGGCGCTTTTGTGCGTGCTTTTCGTCGCTGCTGAAACACCAGTACCAGTTCCCACTGCCGATCTTCTCAGCCCGTAGTTGACCCTCATCAGTCAAAGCCTGGATGTATTCCTTGACCTGGATGCCATTGATGGATGCAATCGAGGGTAGCGTCTTCTCGAGATCTTTGAGCGTGTGACAGGTTCCAGTGGCGCGGAGATGAGTCAAAATTAAATCTTGTTTGTCGCTTTTGGTCAATTTGGGCTAGTGGTGCGTCAGTACGGAGTAGTTCCATTTAAATGATCCTGAACCCTGTCCACGTACCATTTTGCACGGACTGTCAAATGGGTTCAAAAAAGCTTATCAATCCAGCGTTCACTCATTGGACAAATATGAGCCAACTAAGCATTGGTGGAGGCGCAATGATGAGTCCAAGGTCAGCGGTTCTCTCGGGCCCGGTACATGTGCTTACCTGTCACACTACACATGGAAACCCCATGCCGAATACAAGCTCATCTTCCATTTTGACGCTTACCTTTCCTATTCCAAGGGATTCTCGGAATTATTTTTCTTTTCTTTGAACACATTGTAAAATTATTACTGTAGAGGCTACTACCCCTGTTCAAGATAGTCTTGTTGGCAGCACACTAGATTCACTCCAAGACTAGATCAAATCCGACCTAATATCCACTGGGAACCCACCCAATTTCCTGGAAGACCCTACTTGGGTTAGAGATGTCAAGTGAGACGAGATTCTGCTGCAACAGAAACGAGGTCTCGCAACAAGATCTCGCCACGACACCAGCAATAATTAAACCGAGACTGCTATAGGATGCACAGCATACCCAAGATTGTGTTTTGACTCGGCGAGGCATTCGGCGAGGGCTCTCGGCACCCCTGACAGTCGGCTAGATATTGGTTTAATCACCGCAAGTTCTCTCCTTGGAGGTATTACTCTGCGTAAAGCTCTCTTGGAGACCTTCGTGTAGCGAGAGGCGCACAGGAAGGCGCAGCAAACTTATTGTCTTACACCTCAAAATCTGACTTTCGTCTCTCCGCATGCCATATAGTACTGACAGGGACTGGGATATGTGCCGATGCCATGTGCAGCGTGGCTGTGACACGGCAGTACATAGGGTGACTCGATTCCTTTTCAGGGGGTTTGGCCGAATCTTCGCAAGATCGCGCGTAGCCTGGCACAGCTGAAGGCATCAAAAGCCCCGGAGAGGAGTCAACCGCGGAGAAATGGATGTAACGTGGAAAGAATTTTCAAACGCCATCCCATCCAGTCATCGTCTTTCGTCAATCTCGGTGTCAAAATCGGTTGTAACAGAAACAGAACGAGCCAATTTGCGTCGTTTTGATCTCTGACGGACGATGCTGTTTGCTCGTTTCCTTCGCGCTGCTCGTGCTGCTGATTTAGTTGTAGTGTCGCTCTCGAGGCCCGTCCTATCGTCCTCTTCCTCCGACAGTTCTTGTCCTTCAACCAGGGCTAGGTCTCCAGTTTCACCCAGTTCCTCCTTGGCCATCTCTTCGATCAGGATCCCCAATGCAAGCAATGCGGTCTCATCCATCGTCTGATGATCATCTTTGCCGTTATCTGCCGTAGCGTATTCATAGTAGTCGGCTGCATAGGCATGTATTGTCTCTAGGAGGTCGGAGTTCGGGAGAGCTTGATCAGAGGGAAGATTCTCATGCGCGAAGTATACTTTCTCCTCAATTGATTCCGCTGTAATGTTCTGTTTGCGATAGAGAAGCTCCTCTGGACGCAAACTTCGAGCGCCTGCGGTTGTGTCGCGGTATTGGGAAGCAACCGTACGGGGAGCGTTGACACCGCGGGGGTTGACACGACCTAATTACAATTAGGTCTTGTTCTGCCTGGTTCTACGAGCTTGGGAAACATACCAGCTATAGCATCGTAGACGTTGGCGCGGCGTCTTATGTGCCTGGAAGGCTTATCGCCCAGTGCTTCCTCCTTATCTTCGAGTGGCTCGACAAAACTGTCTTCATCCAAGTCAAGTGACCTAGCAACAGACATACTTTAGGTTTGCCAGGAAGACCAATCAAGGTTTGGCAAATCAAACAGTGATGTGCAGCGGATAGTGAATGAAGATCGAGACCCTCCAAGCTACCAAATTCGATAAATGCGCCGGTCCAACTTTAATCCGGTGAAGCATACCATCATCGAGTGCTCTCGACTTATCCATGCAAAAGCACCAGCGCTGATGAATGAATGAATTCCTATCTCCTCAACAGAGCCCTTGGGTCTGTAACTCCGAATGAATTTCATGTTGCTCAAACAACCCGGCTAGTGCACAACCTTGAGCCCGCTCCGGGCATACGGTTCTCCAGCCGCAGAGCAGCTGCGCCAACAGACCAGACCGAAGATGATGTGGCGCCTTTAGATCAAGAGCTAGGTATTACGGCGGAGGTATTTGCTCACAAGTCCGGTGTGAACTGCCTGGCTATCGATCAGTTTGAGGGCCGATAGTGCGTGTGCAACCACTTAGCATCCAACAGTTGCCAATCTAACATGAGGGTAGTATGATATCGGGAGGTGCCGATCCATCGATTCACCTCTGGGACCTTGAATCAAGAGGCTCAGAACTCGAACATGTTCATCAGTCCTGCGCATCCGTCAGCAAATCCTCTCACCCCGACGCGCATACACATGCGATCACCTCCCTCTCGATCTACCCGTTCGATCCTGTCCCGTCAACGATCTTCTCGACAGCACACGATGGTACATTAAAACTGTCGGCGCTGCAGTCGCCCTCCATCACCCCAATCCATACATTTAACCTGGACTGTACACCATATTCACACTCGTTCTCCTCCCAGCCTGGGTCAACACTGCTCGTCGCAGTAGGCACGTCTGAACGATCGGTCCGACTAGTAGACCTACGGTCTGGACTATCAACACAAGGTCTACCGGGACATAATGGTGCAGTCTTATCAGTAGCATGGGCACCTCACCGGCCGCATCTCCTAGCCTCTGCATCGGTCGACAACCGAGTAATCATATTCGACGTACGTCGCGGAGGTCACAACTCTGCCATCGCTACCCTAGACATGGACGATCCAGTGGGGCTGGTGGCCCCAGGAACTGGATCTGTACCGGCCTCATACGAGAGTCGACCAGCCTTCTCCCGACATGCGCGTGCGCACAATGGACCTGTGACCGGAGTACGGTGGACCTCTAATGGTAGTCACATCGTGACGACGGGACAGGATTCCCGAATTCGAGTATGGGACTCCGCAACAGGCGCCAATACACTTGTTCATTTCGGCCCTCGGGTACGTAATAGCTCATCCTCGCACCTGGCTGAACGGGCACCCTTAATCGTGCCCAGAGGCTCTATGAATCCAGGACACGAAACATTACTGTGGCCGAATTTCAATGAGCAGGATGATCGTGGTGAGATTTTCATGTTTGAGCTCCGCGAGGGGACACTCGTTAAGCGTCTCCGCGTCCCAGGTCTCATGGCTGGTTCGCAGAATGTCCGTGGTCGGTCGAGTGCTTTGAGCGCTGGGCGTGTCAATGACCTTGTCTGGCGAGGGAACGGTGCCTCGGGAGAGGGGATAGAGCTGTTCTCTGCGCATGGCGATGGAACGATCAGAACATGGGTGTCTCACGAACCGGATGGCGAACCCACCGAAACCGAGGAAGCAGCTCAGGCTGATCGCAAGAGGAAGCGAGATGTTCTAGACGAGGTCTATCGGGGATTTCTCGCGCCTGACCAGCCCGGGCTACGGATCTAAAACAATTGAATCGGCATACTCTACGAATAAATTTTAATAAGATGTTTCTGAATAGTATCGAATTGTTTTACATGTGACAAACGTCATTCATAACATCATGCACCAGATAGCGCGAGGTCAAAGGAAACCCGCCATCCTTTCAAAAAGCTGGAAAGCTCCCACTAATGGTCGAGCAGACCTTCTACTCCTCCTGATAGCGCTCAATCACACTCCGGCCATACTTGGCATGCTTGAACTCGCGAGTATCACCATGGCCAGCGTGGTGATTAGGGCCCATGTAGGCATGCTTGGCCTCGACGCCAGCCGGCATGGAGTCGCCCGTGCCACTGATGACATCGCCGGCCTCACCCACATCCCGGGTCGAGCGTGGCAAGTCGGTAGTGTTGTCAGCGGCAGTCGCTGTTGTGGGCTTGGCGATGCCTTCGTTGTCGAAGCCAAAATTCTCGGCACGCTGATCTGGGCGTGGCACTGACGGGATGGTATTCATCATGCCGGCATCGTTAGGCATGGTTGTGCCTTGGGCGGCCATTTCGGAGAGAGTGCCGCCTTGGTGAGGGTCTTGCCGAACCATTTTGGTGGTGGAAGTGGTTGTTGTTGGATTTGAAGCGGTTTGGTGTCCAGTGGAAGTTGGGATAATGAGGGCTGGATGAGGATCTCGGGTTGGGGCAGCGTGGTTGGATCCAACGAGACCAGACTACACTGGTACTCTCTTATATTACCCTCCGGGGTACTTCTGACACTGATGTCACAAAATTTGGACATTGCCTACATGTAGGGATGATGGGCAATGATATCACATGGTATTGATTGGTTGCTCATATTAACCACATAGAAAACGTACAACAAAACAAGTAAGAAGACGCCGTCAGTTAATATACAATGCTGGAAATTGTTAAACATTGAGTCAAATTACATGGAATTCAAGTGTGTTCAATGTTCTACTGTCCTTTGCCTTGAGAATTCGCAGTGGCGAAACCAAATGCCTAGTTGTTAAGGTAATCTGGCCACCCACTGGAGTCTAGATGTTCGGGATCACGAACCACGAATGAGATCTTTGTTGGGATTGAGTATTGAACTAATGATGTATGAACTTCCACAGTCTACATGGGAGTGAAGTGACAGCAGACTACGGTATTTAGCTCGTTTGTTCTGAAGTGTTACAACAGCGGTCAGCTAAGAGTTGGAAGGGAAAATGAAGTTTTCAATGCAGTGAACGTAACATCCTTAAGGGAACATCGATCATTAAAGTGCAGTCAAATGGTTAAAGTACAAAAGAATTGTACTGAAATGAATGGGTTGGAAGAAAACAAAAGGGGCAGATGCCATAACGAGTGACAAGAAACGAATGATACATCAAACACCTAGATCAGATCAGGAACTGTCTATAGGATGAAGGCGAGGACACCCATGACAGCAGCAGCAGCGGAGACAATGCCGCCAGACAGGCGGGCGGCACCACCCTCGAACATGACTCCATGGGAGACAGCAGCGGACGCAGAGGAAGAAGGAGAAGCCTTGTGCTCGGCGAAGGCGCCAGTGGGGATCACCTTGCCCCCGCTGACAGAGGGAGTGGGCTGGGAGAAAGAACCATATTCGGCAGGGGTTGCCATAGGTACATGAACAGCGATCTTGGAGTACGAGGGACGCTGAGCAGCATAGTCAGAAGGAGCGGGAGCCGAGGCAGGGTAGGGATTAGCTCCGCTGGAGGGCTTGGCGGAGCTACCGTAAGGGTCAGCTCCAGTGGAGGGCTTGGGGAAGCTAGGGTAGGAGGCAGCTCCAACGGATTTCTGAGGGAAGCTGCCGGAGGGGTCAGCTGGGCCGGAGGGCTGGGCCCAGCCTGAGTAGCCAGCGCTAGTTCCGGGGGGTGGGTGCCGCCATGGGGACGTGGGCGGGGATCAGGTGATCCGTAGGGGGGGATAGCGTACGAGGGGTGCTCAGCACCAGGGCTAGAAGCAGCGGGAGCTGGGGGAGCGTAGGCGTCGGCTCCAGAGGGGTGGTGAGGAGCGTCGGCAGGGCTGGAAGGAGCGGGAGCTGGGGGAGCGTAGGCGTCGGCTCCAGCGGGGTGGTGAGGAGCGTCGGCAGGGCTGGAAGGAGCGGGACCTGAGGGGGCGTAGACCTCGGCTCCAGCGGGGTGGTGGGGGTCGTTGGCAGGGATGGAATCGTGCTGGAAGGCGGGAGCCGACGGAGAGACCGCCTGTGTTGCCTCAGCAGTCTTGTATTGAGTCTTGGTCACGGTGTGAACAACCTGGTGCACCTGCGCAGCGCACTGAGGGGCCTCAACATGTTCCTCCCGGGCGTGCTCAGGAGAAGCACCAGGGTGGACGTGGGTGAAGTCACCCGTAATAGCGTGGTTATCCTCATTGTGCTCGTTCACATCGGTGCTGACATCGACGTTGTTGGGAGCGGAGAAGTCACTGCCCCCGTCGTTGCCAGATGGACCTCCAATAGCGGTACCACCCCCAACGCTAGTCTCGGGGGTAGGTGCGTACGCACGACGGCCAAAGACAATGCTTCCAGCAGCCGGACCGTTGTTGTTGTTCTTCAACGAGGTAATCTCAGACTCGAATGTTGTGTGAGGCTCATAGTGAGGCGCGTAGGTAGGGCTGTAGTGAGGAGCGTAGTGAGGCTCCGGGTGGTTCTCGTAGTGAGGCTCAGGGTGAGGCTCAAAGTGACCAGGGGGTCCATGGGGCCCAGGCACACCACGGCGACCAAATGTAATGCTGCCAGCGGCAGGACCGTTGTTGTTGTTCTTCAACGAAGTGATCTCATGCTCTAGGGTGGTGTGGGGCTCGTAGTGAGGCGCATAGGTAGGGCTGTAGTGAGGAGCGTAGTGAGGCTCCGGGTGGTTCTCGAAGTGAGGCTCAGGGTGAGGCTCAAAGTGGCCAGCAGGGCCGTGGTTCTCAGAGCGACGGAAGGGGCCAAAGGGGTGAGCGTAGATATCCTCATGCTTCAGACCGATGGAGTGATCATCCTCGTTGTGCTCACTAACATCAGTCGAAGTCTGAATGTTAGTGGGAGCGCTGAAGCTCTGGCCACCATCGTTGCCGGAGGGTCCACCAATGGCGGTGCCACCAAAGTGAGGCCCGAAGCGCTTCCCAACTGCAGCAGGACGGTTTTCGCCGCGGCGAGAAGGCCCGCCGTAGTAAGGGGGAGGGTGCACAACGAAAGGAGGAGGAGCATAGATATTCTTGTTTTTGATGTCGATGGAGTGGTCATCCTTGTTTTCATCTTCAACCTCGGTGTTGAACACACCAGTGAAAGACATATCGAAGCTCTGGCCCTCATCATTTCCGGAGGGGCCACCGATGGCAGTTCCACCTGGAGCGCCACCGCGCTTTTCCTTTCCAAAGGGTCCCATTCCAGGGACCTGGGGGCCGTGAGCAACGGGGTGGCCAAAGGGCACAGGCACCACCGGAGGGCGAGGGTACACATCGGTGTGCTTCAGCTTAATAGAGTGGTCATCCTTGTTCCACTGGTTGACCTTGGTATCAGTCTTGATACTAGCGGAGTACGGGCTGACGAAGCCACCGTCGTTATCATTGCCAGATGGCCCACCGATGGCGGTACCACCAGCCTGCGGGTGGAAGTCATGCTCGTGCTGTACGTCGGGTTAGCTAAAGACTCAGGATATATCCAGACCAAGACAACATACACGTTCAGCATACTGGGCCTGCGCAGCGACTGCGAGCAGTGCCACAGGGATTCCGCCGATGAAACCCTTCATGACTGCGGTGCTTTGGAGATATTACTGTAAAAAGGCAAATCCTTTTGCACGTAGGAGTTAAAAGAATGACTGAAAGCGAGTCCTACAGGAGCAGGATAAAAGAATGGCTTGATTGGTAGAATATTCTCCCTTAGAATACAATGAATAGTAACCCAGCTGAAGGAGATGTTCAGACCTTTAGTAGTCTCTTCGCATTCATGATCGCCAACTCAACAAGCAGATTGGGAATGCAGTTGCATCAACAGGGACTACAACTTGACTTGAAGCCAAGGCGTAGGTAATACCATCAGAATGTTGCCAAGAATGAAAAACAACACCAACAGGTGAGAAAATTCTCCTCGACCCTGGTCAGATCGTAAACAGTGGCCATGGAATCCCTAGAAAGGTGGTGATATTGCATTCCGCGGGATGAGAGGGATAGATCCACCACCTGGCCAGGAACCGCGGCATTTAGAGATCAAGCAAGCCCCTTGGCTGACCAGCAACATTTTACTTGACAAATTTGCACAACTGGTTGAAAAGTGGTGCCATTGTCATGTGCGACTCCTCCCAAACAGACTGAAGTATGGACGATCTTAGTACACATTGTGCCTGGCTCGGGATAGGCTGAGGCTGAAACACCTCACGACCGCACAACACGGGATTCCCGGTGATGTCAAGTGGTTGACTCAGATCCGAATGGCCGATTGTGCACCCAATAGGTTGCTTGCAATCGTTCACGTTGCGATGACAATACGTACGTGGTGACTCTTGAGCATGGTAACTTTTATGGGGCGTTACGCTGAATCTGTTCAGTCTCACTAATTATCCAATTTACTTAAAAAAAAAAAAAGACCATCACATGCATCAATGCACTGGTCTCTACTCTCGCTCTCAACAACCATATTGTTGAAGCGAAGGAATGTGTCCCGTCTTCGACATTCAAATCCCACCGCCCTCACTGAAGAGGACACAGAGGGGAAACGAACTTCCTATCGAGGATCATCTATCTCCTGAGCCGATCAGTCCCGTAAGACCGAAGTCCGTAGGACCGAAGGCAACACATCGTCGTGGGGATGTCGTAAGACAGGACAATGGTCGTGGCAGGCTCAGTTGCTTTTTTTCGATGAAAAAGAAAAAAAAAAGGACGAAGGGGCCGAAAAGTTTGCGGTCTTTTATAGCACTAGTGGGGTCACGGATCGGATTTACAATCTTCCTCTCGGAGTCGGGGTCGGTCCGACCTGGTTTACGTTGTGGCCTGCATTTTAAGGCTCTCAATCACACCTCATACACAGTCGTATTTCAAATGAACAAGGGGGAAAAGCAATAACTTAGGATATGATACAGCAGTTCCAGCCAGCTCCATGACATGTCCAATTCAATACGCGCGAGGTCCTAATCAAGCTGGAATATGACATGTCACTGCTGTGGACGAGTGGGATAACTTCCAATTAAGAATAACAAATGCTCTCCCTCCCCTCAAACCCCAGCTATCCATAGCATCTTCAAAAAAGAATGAAGCAAAAAAGCTGACCTAGTGTACGTCCGAAAAGTCGGTGATATGAATCACACGGAGTTGCGATTGAGGTTGCTGGTCGCTATGAATCAAAAGTGGTAAAATGGTAACCGGAACCTTGCATGTTCCGTTAGCGATGAATTCCAAGCCAGTGGGTGAAAGTGACTCGAAGAACTCACTTATCCCCCAGCTGCCGTTTTCTCGGCACTGGCTTTCCAACCTGCTCCTCCCACCGCCGCAGTGATGCCCAATGCAATCGCAATCATTGTTCCCACTGTCACCACAGCCACAACTGCCTTCATTGCCATTCGTTGTTTGTTACTCAAGGTCTGGAACCATGTCAACGGTTTGTTCTCTTCCTCCCACAACTTCGATCGGCGGGGACTATCGGTTCGGCAGCTCGCGTATGGGCCCAAGCTTTCCAGGTCTCTCAGGTGGCTTCTCCGAGTGGCATTCTTTGTTTCGAAAGTGAGTTGTTCGTATGAGATAGTCGGACTTGTATGGGGATAAAAAGGCGAGCACGGCTTTGCACCGATCGATGGATCAAACTCCTGACTGTGAGCCCCAGGCGAAGATGTAATGGAACATCGTGGGGGCGCGATATTAGGCGTGGTTGGGGGTTTTTCGTCGGTGGTTTTGATCGATGCAGCCACCTGGGCCCCAATCACCCCAAGTCCGTGTAAACTCATAGCGACGTGCTAATGCCGCCGGGAGGGAGGAGAGCGAATTCCCAGATCAGAAGATCTTGGAGAGTGACCTCTTCAGGCTTTTTCGCTTGGATTTGGATCTTTGTAGAGGTCGTGGTTCTTTGACCTTGGGTGCTGGTGTTGTGATTGCCTCAACGGGAATGGCGACAGTCGAGACACCGCCGTACATAAACAATGCCGTATCAACCTGGAATGCGCTCCAACTCCAGGCGGACCGCGGCAGTTTCATCACTCAGACTGATCACAATAAGAAATATAATTATCTGAAATAGCGGAGGGGCGAATGTGTGCCCGTCAAAAGGATAATTTGATATAAAATGGAATGAGTGGTAGTTTCCTCTCGAAGCGCACCCGAACGGTTTTGGGGCAGCTGAACGGCAACAGCGGAGTCTGGATTTTCTTCAAGGGGTCCTCAGTACATTCGGGAACACCCTGTAGTGAAATGAGTTGTTTCTCTAGGGATGCAAGGTCTCCATTGGCTCGAGGGCTGTTTTTCACCCCCTAGATTGGTATCTCGAGTCCCTCTGAGCATTCCCACGCCCTTTATAATGTAAATGATCTTCTCCCGCAGCAAAATCAACCCTCCTATTAGTCAATCTTTGCTTCAATAGCATTCTTATCGTCGATCATGGACTCCCCTATTTCACGTCCCTTCTCCTTAGGCTCTGTTTGTAACCCTGTTGCCCACCTGTGGACTTCAGTGGGTGGATTCTACCCTAGTATATGAAGACAGTCTGTTCTGTGGTACATCTCTTTGGAACAGATTACGGGCCAATAGGGGTATATTCTAAATCAGGGTATCTCGATCATTCTATCTCGATACACATTGTAGTTCACAGATCGTATGTTGTATGTAGGTTACATCCTGAATGTGCATACAAGCTGCATGACATTGTACAATTCACACAAGCAAAGCTTGCTCCAGTAAGTAGATAACATAAACTGTAGCTATAGTTGATTATTATATATTTTCAAAAATTACAGGCAAAACTTAATGTTGTCTGCCGTATTGTGAGTCGATATCTTCACGCAACTAAGGCTTACTTGGAAGCTAGAAAATTTCCGGTCATCGGCTACGACTAATTCGACCACCTAAAAAGTAGGTCTATTCATTGAGATATAGAAATAATATCTAAATTTTTTGCCTATCCATATTTCTATGATTAGCATGTTGAATTGTAGCAGAAATATCTAATGTAGAACGATATATATTTTGACGTCGTTCTCAGCACAGCAGTATGACAAGATATATAAAAAAACCCCCATGCTTGTCTAACTTGAACGCTTCCCAAGATCATGAGGGATTTGAAAGATGTACTAACCACATAAATAGATATTTATTCATCGATTCAGTCGCGGAATTGGCATCTGCTTGCCTAAGAATCATGAATTGTCTTCGGATAGCACTCAAATAGCTAAGAATATATAATATGCTGTCACCCACCTGCAGCATCTTAATACATAACGGAAAGACTTCAGCCAACTAAACTTCTTATCGGGCTTTGACTTGCCTATAACGTTGAACTATGGGGTTTCACGTATCATGCAAATGTTTGGAGTAACACCAGCCAAGCATACCTCATGACCGGGCAGCTCGTGTCTATAGCGACCTCGGGATGCAACCTAGCTTTGCTGCTAACCAACTACCAAGTGAATAGTACTTGTGAACGATGCGCTATATTATTTATTTATAGCGTAACAAGTCTCCAAAACTAAGCCCTCCTCAATTTTGGAATTATCGTGACACGGTAATTAATAGACTGCGGTGGTTTCCCAAAATCGCCAAAATAACATAGATTAAGTCAACACATTATTAGCCAATTATTCCAATTATGGTCAATAGTAATAGAACTCATTATTTATAATATTTGCATAAAGGAATATTAATGCGGAGCTGTCGGCGAGTACCACGGGATGAAATGGTCATCCTACGACAATGGGATAATATGGGAGTATAACATGTAGAATACCAGCTTTATTGATGAAATAATAGCCGCTATGGCAAAATATGAAATGGTGAAGTTTTCTGGAACATAGCAACAACTCAGTCCGAAAAAAACATCCTTATCCCTAGATCTGTTGTGGTTAAGGCCGAACAAACCACTACTAGGACCCAAATACAAATTGCAGAATTTGAACATTTCACTTCATTCAACATATGGTAGCTAATAGGCCCAGTAATAATATATATTATGTTATGCTCTAAATCTGTTGAGGCTGGTACTTTGCGCTAATGGGACTTCTCCCCGCCACAAACTATCCATCAGGTCCCCTCACGCCAGGGCTGTTATCTCGTCAATTTTTTATTTTTGTCTCGATTGCCTGAGTGGGCTTTTTTTTCAATCTGGTAAGATGAAACTTCAAGTGCAGTGGAGCTCGCCTCCTTCGTGTGTGTGGCAGTTCTATTCAAGTTAGTTTCGAATCTCGACGATGCAACCGAGAGCTACTCACCGCAGGTACTTCGGAGGTTGTTGAAGGAGCTTCGGTATTTGTTGCAGTTGGAGTAGGCTGGCTAGTCACAGCCTCAGATGTTGTTTCCTCGGCGTGGGTTTCATCATGCTCATGTTGGTCACCAGGACAGCCAATTCCCGGCACAGCAATGTCGTAAGCATATACCTCCAGTGCAAAGTACTGAAGGGTCTCCGAATCACGTGTTGACAGCGTCGCATTTTCCTTCGCCTGGTCAATAACCTCTTCATATCCATCTGCAAAATGATCGATCCAGCTCTGTCCGATGGCGGAAACATGATACAGGCGGTGCAGGAGATCAGCGGCCCAAAAGGTGTTGGTCTCGTATTCCGAGACTGTATATCCAAGTCCGCACATGGTTGAGAGAGAGCGACGAGTTTGGTAGCTCAGGTCGCAGATGACTGTCTCGTCCGTGCCGTTTTCGCCTCGCCAGTGTCCGGCCCAGCCTATTTGGTCGAGATGTTTAGCATATAGCCTCTCCATAGAGCAAGGTTTCTTACCTTCATTGTCACAGTTTCCATCTGGGTTGTCACATCGAAACAAGATATCTTTCTTGTCTCCGTTGACTACGATATCAAATGCACCGATGGCTTCCATGGATGGGCGATCACCAAAATACTTTCTGTAGATCTCGCTCTCATTTCTCCATCTCAAGATATGATCCTTAGCATGCGAAGCGAGAGTAATAGTCTCATTAAGACCTAGCTCGATTTGGCGACGCTGGGTTGCATTGCAGCTTGAATGGATGGGAAATTGATTCACAGCGCCAGCGTTCCAAGGTGCAAGCCCAGAGAAGGGCTGGGATTGGTTGCCCTCTGAGCTCTCGGGAGTGGGGAGAGCAGCAGCAATAGCTGCAGAGGAGAGAATGAGGTTGAACAAAAGCATGTTTGTTATAATCAAGGTAAATTGCTTAATTGCTTGGAAACTATGGAAGCAAATATCTACCCACGGTAGGAGCAGCTTTTATATTATTTCTACGAGGCTTTCAAAGCTTCCATATACGATGATTTTTAGTTTTTCTCAACCGTTTGCCAAGTGTGGCTTTTGTTGTGCTCATCTTCGCTGTGTCTGCGGATAATCCAATCCACGCCTCACCCAGAAGAGAAAACGGGATGCCTTCTCCATCTTTCTCGGTACACGGATGGTGCAACCTGCCAAGAGGGGACCTTGAGAGCTTCTTCCATCAGTTCACTCGCTCAAAGTATTTTTTCTCCAGCAAATCAGCGTAGAAAATCTCAGATTGATGCCAAGAAAAAGGCTCGGCGGAGGGTCGCCAAGATGCTTGGGCGGGAGTACCTTGAGAGCACAAGAACCAAGTAGGGCGGTATTCTCCGGAGAGAACCCGAATTGGAAGTTCAGGCCTGCTCTTGGCGAAAAGATCGGATGGTCTTCCGCTTGGCATCGAGAACCTTGGGGGTGAGACACCTATGCATGGCTCTTCCTCCATATACCAAGCGGCCTTTTAGAGAGGATTGCTCCCAGGATTCATTGATTGAAAAATCCTCACCTGTGGCATATTTCTTGCATCAATTACAATCCTAATTATAATCCTTCCGTTCTGATTTGCGAAAGGGTAGAGCAACAGCTTCATCATGCACATTTCCAGGCCTTTCCTTATATCACTGGGCATTTCCAGAGTATATGCAGCCACAGCAACAACATCAGCACAAACATCATCTGTAACTGGTTGTCATACTCATGGCTCAAGCATTTACTGCATTGACGGAGATGGCCACGAAGTTTTGGTTTCGGCCACATCTACTACAACTGGAGTACCAGCACAATACACTGGGTGTCACTCTCACGGAAGCGAGTCGTAAGTTCACAACTATTCATTTCTGTGACAATATACTGACCAAAAAAAAAATCGAAGATATTGCATGGATGCAGATGGAAACGATGTCCTGATTCAAGAGGAAGAAACAGAAGCCGAGAGCGCAACGACCGAAGAAAGTAACAGTGAGGAATCCTCAACTGAAACCGAACAAAACTGCCATTTCCATGCTGGCGTCGAGTAAGTTTGTACTTTTTTTCCTTCAGATTTGCGCGTTATTGACTTTGGACATTCTAGACACTGCGTGGGTGCAGGTGAATCGGAGGAGAGTAGTACGACATCATGTGGTATCAAAGCAAGAGACTATGACATCCCCCTGAGAATTGGCACATTGTTTGTCGTCCTTGTCACTAGTTCAATTGGTGTCTTTGCCCCTATCCTCCTGATGAAACTTCCATTTGCCTCTATCAATGGGGTGGTCTCGACTGTCATCAAACAATTCGGAACTGGTATCATCATCGCCACAGGTTTCATCCATGTAAGTAATCTCGGGTCTTAACAGACACACCACTTGCTAACTGTTTTCCTTAGCTATACACACATGCAAACCTCATGTTTACGAACGAGTGTTTGGGTGAACTCGAGTACGAAGCAACTACCTCCGCCGTGGTCGTGGCGGGTATATTCATTGCGTTCTTGCTGGAATACATTGGCCACAGAATTATCGTTGCTCGCAACAGCAAGAATACCCCCACAGAAACCGCATCGTCCGAGTCCGAGTCTCAGCAAACACAACAGAAGGGACAGCATGACCATTCCCCGGACCAACAGCAACAGTGCACGTTGGCTGGTCTCGGGCACACTCACGGCTCATTGGATCTTACCGGACCCAACAGCAAATTTTCAGTTATGGTCATGGAAGCCGGTATACTTTTCCACAGCATCTTGATTGGCCTTACACTTGTCGTTGCTGGGGACTCATTTTACAAGACGCTTCTAGTCGTGATTGTGTTCCATCAATTCTTTGAAGGATTGGCACTCGGTGCTCGTATTGCAGTCCTACCGGGTGCTATATTCCCTTCCAAGGCGTCTATGGCGGCGGCATTTGCTTTGATCACACCTATTGGCATGGCTATTGGACTTGGTGTTCTTCACACCTTCAATGGTAATTCGAGGGGCACTTTGATTGCACTAGGAACATTGGACGCATTGTCTGCTGGTATTCTGGTGTGGGTTGGTGTTGTCGATATGTGGGCCCGTGACTGGGTAATTGATGGAGGTGAAATGTTGGATGCGAAGTTGGGAAAAGTTTTGACCGGTGGTATTTCCTTGATCAGTGGGCTGGTATTGATGGGACTGCTAGGAAAATGGGCTTGATCACTTGTACATGTATATAGTTAGCCTGACAATTAAGAGTTTAAGCATTATGAGCGGCTCATCTTGGGCATTTTTCACTCTCCGTACTCCGTATTCAATCCGAATTCCGGGCTATCGTTTCGCAGGCGTTGATCGACAGTGTCGAGCGACGCGTAGAAGCCCTCTAGTTCTTTGAGAATAAGTGTGACTCGGGAAAGATTGAAGCTACCCAATTCAAGCAGATCTATGGATCGGTCGTAAGTGGACCATCCCGAGCAGGCGCATACAGGCGGAAGCTGCACTCCATGGTGCCATATACCCAAAAATGTCCAAGTTAAATGGTGTTCGGGCGAGAAGACAGGAATAAAGGGCACACCAGTGCCTCTCCGACTCTCGGTGTTCGTCTTTACTGCAGCAGCAAATGAGGCCATATTTTGATAAGGACTGATTGTAGGCGTCAATGAATCCCCAGGCAAATTAATCTGGAATGCAGTAGGTTTATCAGAAGGTAAAAGAAGGCTTCATAACCTGCTGTGACATTCCCCGGTCGAAAACCAGAAGAGAGATGTCGATTGGAAAAGAAATTAACTCTGAAAAAGCCAAGCTCAGAAAAGCTTTCTATTACTTCCATCACCTCGCGCACACTGCTAAGTCAAAGATGACAGTTAACGGAATGCTTATTCAAATGCTACTAATCAAGTCAGGTATGTCACTCAATCTCCCTGTGTATCTGTGTTAATGAACGATATCGGCTTTGGAACATTTATCACAGCCTTATTCTTTGGACTTGGGGTTGCGTATCATGCAATATAACTGGGATAGCGTGCGTCAGTCATTTAATAGGGAATACTCTAGCCAAAGAGGGCATACCTTGCAAACGTCCCCTCCATCCACGCATTCAATCTCCTTGACCAATTCAAAGCCCATTCTTTCATAAATACCCACGTTTGGATACCCCTTAGAGCTCTCGAGATAGCATGGCATATTCTCCCGATCGGCCTTCTCCATGACATTCTCCATAAGCTTCTTTCCGACTCCCATACCACGCGCCTCTGAATCAACACAGACAACATTGCAAAAATAGTACCCACGGGGGTCCTGCCAGATGGTATCATGCGCAGTTTGCTGCACTTGCTTCCAAATCCAATACCGGTGCACATTCAGACCACCGCGACCAAGGAAGCGGATATTGTTTATGAGCTGGCGGAAGGAAAGAAGCCAGTCCTGTGCCCAAACAGACCAGGTCTGAGTCATGGAAGATGCTTGTGGCGAGTACCACCAGGCAACGCCGACCACAGTACCCGCCGGCAGGCGGATATCTCCGTCGCTCTTGCTTTCATTTGCGGCACGAGTTATCTTGGCGACGGAAATGGGGCAGCCGCAGTTGATACCATATTGGAGATGAGCAGCGAGGGAAGCTGCGTTTCGTTGGATGTTAAACTGTCAGACCCCGTTATTACTTGGTTCGATATCCACTTCGTTTGTTTTCACTCTTTTTTTTGGTCTGTTTTTTCTCAAAGCCAGAACGATGTATTCGGCTGGTGGCTTGAGGAAAAAGATGGTTCATACCTTGGATGGATCATCAAATGCCCAGCGAAAATAGGGATCATCGGCGAACGCTTTCTGCACACAGTCTACAGCCCCAGGTATGTCGGTCTGAGCCAGCGGGACGATTTCGATTGACATTGTTCTTGGCTTGTCACTACGTTTTTGTTTTGTTTTTGGACGGCGACAATTCTTTTAGCGAACGGGTTTAGATGCCCGGGTACTTTTTCTACTGGCTCTGCGAATAGCTTGACACAGAGATATAGTATAAGAATGCCAATGAAGACGTTGGGGACAGTGAGAGATAAAGACAACCGCCATCTAAGTAGAATTGAAGTGGTGATGGTCCACAAGTTGATGGAGGAAAAGGTGAGGGAAGCGAGGTCTTTGTTTATTGTAGGGGTGTCAGCAATCGAGGAAATAATGAGTAGTAGAAAGTCACTGGCACTCCTGGGCTGAGGAACGGGGCTCATATAGTTGAGCTCAATGGTGATCCCCGAGGCCATTTGACTGTCACGCTTATCTTGTCCCCAATGTACATTCCAGGGTTGCATGTCGCTAGCCTTTATAGGCAGCTCCACCCGGAACAAGTACATATGCGATGTGGAGGTGTTACGGCGTTCTTCCACTCAGACTACCGCCCCGTCGTGGCCCCGGCAGTAGCCGCAGCTAGACGAGTTTAATACAGACCACATGACTATCTACCTCAAGCATGTACATAGTAGTACACCGTGGGCTCGAATAACCTCAAATCATTCGGCAAGATTGTCGATATCATATGTGCTGTAACTACAAAGTAAACGCGGGGGGCGGGCTAGTAATTGGATCATGTGGAGAATCCAATCTAAAAACTAATCCCAATCAGGCAGGTCGTTGCGTCATTGGCTCAATCTATTGTGGGGCGTCTCAGGTTTATCAGTTCTCTAAGCCGAACTGATAAGAGATACGGAGTACAAGTACCTAATTAGAGTCAACCTAGGAACTATACATATACTTGATCTTGTTTTAACATGGTCTAAAGTCTCGTAGTGTGTAGTTTATTTCATCACTCCCTTATAGTTCAGGGACCAGATTCCTTGGCAACTTTGGAAGTACATAATACATGTAAACAACGGAAAATTATTCCGCCCGAATCTTGGAAATCGGTATGTTAAACGAATCAAAGCGAATATGCCTCTACTAGACGAGAAATGTATGTCAAGATTGTGCTAATACCTCACACAGTGTATAATAATAGAGTTTAATCCTGCTATTTCGAAAAAGAATCATAGATCCTGGGGGACATGTTGAGAAAGTGATATAAAGCATGTCCAGATCAAAGTCAGAATTCATATTGATAGACTTGGCATACATGTAACATCCATAGAGTCTTTGGAAATATACAATGAAAAACATGAAGCAAAATATCTATACACATTGGTTTTCGCATCTACCTGGGCAGATGATCCTTTGTTTGGTGACACATGGTCACCTGCTTTTCTTTGGCCTGGTTTAACTGCCCCATGCCCTACCCTTTGTACTTCCCCTTTGTTGATCGAGTCTATCCATTTTACATACGAACTTAAACATGATGAAAGTGCTAAAATCTGGTGCTTGTAGCAAGATATCCACATAGAGGTTATGGCATTGGTGTTGCGACTTCTTTGTGCATCTTCCAACTCCCATGCAACGGCGAAAAGATCTATCGGTCTCCTTTCTGAAGCCAAAAGATTACAGTTATTACCCCTGTCGTGAGCTATATTCTCCCTTTTGATAGGATATAATTAGTGTCTTTGTGAGTATGACGGAGGCGAAGAGTTTCTTTCTTGACGAAACATAACCAGGAGACGTCCGAGATGCAGTCAAAGGTTGGATATTTCTTTTCTTCCCTGATAGAACAAAAATAAATCTTTGCTTTCATTGCTGTCTTTGTCAAATACGTCAACCACAAAATCGAATCAGTGCCAACTCTACTCCATACAGATGCATAAATAACTCCAAATTCCCACTGCCTTCTCATAACCCCCCAAGCAATCTCCGAGAACACATCGGATTCTGCATCATCGGGGAATTCAGTTATCTGCATGCGAATTTTTTATCCGGGAATCGTCAACAGATTTCACTTCCAAGTCACACTCCAACCAGCTTCTCCAATACCAGTCTAATATCCGCCTACGATGTCTCCTGATGATTTTGAGCGTCTGCTAGCCAACGATCCCTACAACCAGCGGCGCATTTTTGTTCTGCGATGTGTGCATGACGCAATCTACTTCCTTCGCCATGGACCGCATCGTCGTCAGGATGTGATTTCCTCGTTGCAGGAGGAGGTTCTTGGTGAAATTAGCCTCGGTATCTCAAGCGCGGTCATGGAACATGATTCCCAGTTTGAGCGGTTGTGCCGTAACCTTGAGCTTGTCGTACCGGTTTCACTCAGGACTCTCAGAAAGTATAACGACCGGGAGAGCGACGAAGATGTTGCCGATGATCTCATCAATTGTATCCCCACCGCTCTGCAACAACCCGATCGATGGGCCCCGGAGGTCGAAGAGTTTTCTGATGGGGAACAGTCTGAGAAGCAGAGTAGATATAGCCACCGTCACAGATAGGCTTGCCTTTCTAGGGAGGCGGGAAATCAAGTATTGGCTATAGGTCTGACTGGGATTTGGAGGATTTTCGGTTCGAGTGCATTTTCTGCTGTTTTATGTCCCAATTGTTGTTTTGTTTTAGAGATGACAACAAAAAAAACAAAAAATAGAATTCTGTCCTTATTGCGCCAAGTAGTTTCTGTGGGTTTCTTTTATGTATCATTCAATACAGGCGCTGGTCACATGTATTTTCTAGTATCCGATCTTGGTCCAACTAGAAACTAGATAGATTCGAGAGGGTAAATCGTGATTTGTCACAAGCAATGTATCATAGGCTTCATATTTTAAAGTGTCAGTAGTCTTGTCTAGCAGAGTCTCTGAAGGCTAAAGCTTGCTTGAGAGCACTTTGTTTAATGGTAGAACAAATAAATCCCAAGACCGTACGCAAGTTGTGCAATTCAATAAACTCCAGCAACATCATATTACCACCGAAAACATTAAACTCCTTTTAAACTATCAGAAAAAATAATCAAAAATTGGCAATAATCAAACTGATCTAGAATTTTATCAAGAAACAACCAACCAGTATCTCAACTCTTTCTCAATTCAACCAAACAATCTAACCACGATTCCGTCCACGATGAAAGCGAGGCAGGAAACCAGGTGCAGGCTCGGTAGCAGTCTCCGTCGCAACACGAGTGAGGTTCACTGCACTAGTTGTGGTATTGTGGACAACAGACGTGTTGGTGAAGAGGGCCGTCGCTGTCGTGTTGCTAAATAGCCGCCGACGAATAACGTCGGGGTTGATCTTTGCTCGTGGGGTGACACGCGATCCCCCTGGTGTTCCAGGAGATACATGTGGAGATGTTGTAGGCAAAGTCACGAGGGTAGCTGGCGTGGTGGGCGAGGCTGTTGTGACTGCAGTACGTTCTCTGGTGGTGGTTGGTATGAGTGGCGTCGATGTCCGGGTTTGGGTCAGGGTCTGAGTCAGAGTATTGGTGCTAGTGCTGGTTCTGGTGGGTGAGGTTGTCGGGCTGCCAGTTGGGGAGACTACGCTAGTGTGGCTAGTTGAAGTTGTCACGCTGGCAGTTGGAGAGACTCCACCAGTAGGGCTAATTGAGGTTGTTGGGCTGCCCGTTGGAGAGGCTCCGCCAGTGGAACTAGTTGAGGTTGTCACACTGCCAGTTGGAGAGGCTCCGCCAGTGGGGCTGGTGGTGGGGAGAGCACCTCCGGTAGGACTTTCAGTGGGGCAAGGACAAAGCGATGCTCCCGTGCCCGGGACCGAACCAGATGTGACAGTGACAGTAGTGGTGCTCACTATGGCAGCGGGACAAGTGACGGTCACCGGGACCACCGTCGTCTCCTTAGACGTGGATGGAGTAGGACAAACTTCGCTTGCAGTGGTAACGCTAGGAGATGGGGAAGGAGGCACGGTACCACCTCCAGTGGGGGATGTCTGATCAGTGTTAGTTGTTTCAGTGACTACTCCGGGAGAGGATTACGGTGTAGTTCCGGGGGGAGGACTAACAGTACCGCCAGTTGGAGCAGGTCCAGTTGTCGTGGTAGCTCCGCCAGTCGGGGAAGTTCCAATGCCACCAGTTGGCGTACCAGTCGTACCGCCGCCGCCAGTGGGTGAAGTGCCGCCTTGGGTACCAGGGAGAGTAAGAAAGGTGCTTTCAGAAAAAGGTAATAGTCTACTCACCTCCTCCGCCAGGAACTGTGGTACCACCACCTTCGCCAGGGACCGTAGTGCCACCACCTCCACTAGGGACTGTAGTGCCGCCACCTCCTCCAGGGACCGTGGTGCCACCACCTCCGCCAGGGACTGTAGTGCTACCACCTTCGCCAGGGACCGTGGTTCCGCCACCTCCGCCAGGGACCGTAGTGCCACCACCTCCACCAGGGACTGTAGTACCACCTCCTCCGCCAGGGACTGTAGTACCACCTCCTCCACCAGGGACTGTAGTCGTCTCAGGCTTCGGGCCTTTTGTCGTAGAGATCTCCTCAGTCAAGATAGAAAGTAGCGAGCTCACAAGTTCAGGATGGTTGTGGCGCTCCTGCAAGCCAAAGTCACGCTCTTCTCGACGATGATCCTCGATGTCGGGCTGCTCTAGCGCCCCATCCGGCGCAGCTATGACACTCTGGAGGAGTGCCCAGCAGGCCAGCAGAACTAAGCATCTTGTTGGAAACATGATTTGGACCAACGCAAGTAAATGCAGGGCGAATAAGCAAATGTGGCCGATTTACGGAGAACAGGGGCCAATGCAAGTTCGCCTATAGTTCCTAGCGTTATCGAATTGATGAATGGGTTGATGTAGAAGACAATTCTACCTTCAGAACTCCTTGGGTAGCAAGTCTAGCGACGAAGCGAAATACTCACCAGATGAGTTCGAGACGAGTAAAAGGAAAGCGGACTCCCGGATAAAAAGGACGATAGGGAGGAGACGCGAGCATAACGTCGTATATGTAGCTAGAGGTTGGAAAACTCAATGGTGATGGATTGATGAACATTCGATGTCATCACAGCGACAGGATTGGCCAGGCGTGATGTCGATGTTTGTTTTTGGTTTAAACTTTCGATGTCTGTATAGTTTCCATGGTGAGAGGTGAGCCTGCTCCTATTGGAAATCTTTCCCAGTGGTGAAATCCATGGTTGGATAAGGTACAGAGGCATCATTGTGACTAGATGTTTACATAGATCCGGTGCCTGTCGGATATCTTATGCGGCGTGTTCAACCCCGTTCAGCCCTGCCGGGAACCTGAACCTGAGGTACCAACATTTATGTTTTTTATATTGCCTCAATGGCGGCAAATCTTTCTTATCTCTAACCGCCAGTTCGATTGAGAAATCTATTTAAACGGCTGAAGGGCCGAACCGACCATGTCGGAAACGTTATCTGACTGGGTGGTGAACTCTATAACTGCAATCACATATTGATAAATATAGACATTAGTAGTAGCTATGTATAACAAAACACTCGGCCATGAACGCTGGGTAGAAAATGCAAGTCGAGGAAAAAGAAATCCTTTCTATCAAAATTCATTTTTGAAATCGTGAAATCGTGTCGAAGTTACCAAATCGCCAGTGTCGGAGTCCCGGATGGAATCCAGAAAATTAATAGATCGCGAGAGGGTGACGCCAGCCAACTTGAATGACCTTTACGGAAGTACAGCATGCAAGGCCAGCCGCATAGCAGCAGACGGTAAAGGTGATCAGGCCCCAGTAGGATCCATTGCAGCGTGCCAGGATCTCACCTGCAATAGGGATTCCGGTGAGAGTGCTGGTGGCAAAAGAGTGTCAGTTATGGATACGCAGGTGACATCACAAGGGGGGGAAGCACTCACCCGAAGCTCACTATGGTATAGGCAGTTGCGTAGTACCGGCCATAGTTCTCGGTTTTACAGAGCTGGCCAACACAGACTGGCGTCAGGCTGATATTGCTGCCGCTCGAGAATCCAAAAAGAGCAGCGTAAACGATCAGCAAAGGCAGACTATCTCCAGCAGGAAGCCACAGGCAGGCGTTACAGAGCACGCAGAGCGCGACCGTCGCGATCAAAGTGTTAAAGCGACCCAGGAAATCGGCAAAGAAGCCAGGCAACCATCTCCCAAAGAATGAGCCGGCATTCAAGATGGCAATGATCTGGTATGAAAACTTGGTGGAGAAACCATGGTCGAGGGCATAAGATGAGATGTAGCTAATTGGCACGAAAAGTCCCCACTCAATAAAGAAGACGCTGGCAGTAGTAAGTACGAATCGCGGGTCACGGAATATGCGGAAGTCAGGGAGCACGTTCTCCTTGGAAAATGGCTTCTGCGGGAGTCGAGACCTAATCAAGAGATTCGCAACTGATAGCGTAATTAGGCAGATCAACGCAACAACCCGAGTGGCCCAAGCCCAGCCAATCTTGGGGAAGAGGTCTTCTAGAATGAGAGGGAAAACAATGCCTCCGACGGAGCCACCAGTGGCAGCAATGCCAGTTGCGACTCCACGTTTCTCATAGAAATAGTGTCCAATCGCCGAGATCGCCGGTGTGAAAATGAGGGACGCTCCCACTCCACCCAGTACACCGATGACCATCATAAAGTGCCAGTATTGAGTGCAGAAGCCAAGGAGGATTATCATGGCCATTTCGAATATGGAACCCGCAAAGACAAGAAGGCGTGGGCCTCGAGCGTCGAAGATGGGACCGATTTGCACTCCACAAAAGAAAGTGAGAAAGGCAAACATTCCAAAAATCCAACCATTGGCTCCTGAGCTGTATTCCTTCAGTTGATGGGTTTGGATATATGCTTGGAAGGTGCCGATGGTGTTCACCAGGCCCAGCGATCCAAAGAGACCGAGGAAGCTGCCCAGCACTACCAGCCAGGCTTCGAGACCCCCCTCCGGATAGGTGTTCCCTTCAGCATCTGTGGTCACTCGACTAACGGGGTCTCTTCTGGCTGATCGTTGAGATGGTGCCACGGTAGATGCTGTCCGATATACATCTTCCGAGCTATATTCTTGCTCTGGTGCAGCCTCCGTGTCAAATTTTTCATTGTTCATGTGAACAGTAGTCTTCTCGTCGAGGGCTGTTGTGGTGCTTTGGGGTGTTGTGGTGTTCTGAGTGGTGTTCATAATATCAAATGCATGGTCGGTCTTGCTGGCAGATCCGACATTGGTAGACATTCTATGTGGAAGGAGCAGCTATGATATTCTCCACTTGTATTAAAAAGGATTTGCTAGATTTCTTGAATTTGAGGATCCGGGGATCTGAAAAGTCGGAAGGAGGGGAATTACATATTAGCAATCGAAACCTCCCAAAGACTATGCAAAAGTGCCCAGGCTCTGAGAATTTTCCGCGGAATTATTCCCATTGGTGTTCAACTGTAGGAGTTGAGAGTGTGAAAATTTCGGACGGCATGATCATTGGGCAGGGGAAGATGTGGATCTATCGTGTTGACCCGAACACCTTGGGGACCATGTACATCGTGCTGTTCATTACTATACTGGCTAGATGGAAGTGTTGTTTTTAATTGCACAGAATAAAATGGTTGGCATACATCACTACGAGTTCTCTTTATTAATCATTTTATCAATCATATAGAACAATCTATACATGCCTCATTTATCTGGATTTATCGGTGTACGGGACACAATTCACTAGTCGGCTATGACTATGACAGCAGTCCAACATAGTGGCAAAATTTCCGAACTTCCGAATTCCCGATCTCCGTGAGACTACGCGAGCGGATAACTACATCCAGGCATAGTGTCAATCATTCGTATTAGGCTAGACATGGATCAACTTGTTATTCAATGAACATATAGAACTTCTTCGGATAGGACAAGAAAGACAAGGGCTTAGATTTACATCCGGACAATATCAAATGCATAAATTATATTTGAAATTAGCACGAAATTTGACGTGATGCGGGTAGATATATATAACTGCGACCATGTTTTGTATTTCTTGGGCAAGTGTCATTAGCTAACAAATTTATGTAAACTTCATATAAACTTCCCAAACTGCCAAGGTCAGAGCCTCAAAAAGCATGAAGTATCTAATATTCTCAAAAAAACCCCAACCGTAGAAGTTTTACTCGGGGCGAGATCCGTTCAGGTGGTACCTATGTCGAGTAATTTCAAACAATAGCTGGTTAGGCTCATGAGACATTAAACAGCAGGCTCTTCCATCAAACTGGGCTTGTGGTTTAGTGGTATAATACTCCCTTAGCATGGGAGTGGTCCGGGGTTCGATTCCCCGCGAGTCCAATTTTTTTGTTTTTCCCAAGCTATATATACTATTCTCAAATGAAAATAGTTATCTTAGAATGCCTTTATTTTTATCCCCAGGAGAAAACCCAGTACGACTATCGAGTATATCAACCTTGTCGGCTGATACTTCTCGCGAAAAAGGGGCCCGTCAGAGAAAGCAAGTTCCGATCAGTCAAACAATATTTCCAAGCCAGTGTTAAGCAACCTAGAAAGCTTGGCATGCTTGGGATCTATAACTTAGAGCTCCGGGAACCTCGGCCCAGGTACAGAGTACTTCGTGGGCACAACGATCATCTTGTTGTGAGGTACATATGCAGTTAGGTGATGTTCGCACATGAGGGTTTAATCGGAGGCCGAGGAGTATGTACTTTGTATGTACTCAGGGCAGCTCATTTGAATTATTAAGAGGATTTCTCACCTATCAGACCGCTACAACCGCCGCAGGGCGATTATTATGTATCATCACACAATGTCTATCAAGGATAAGAAGCATGCCAGACCAATTGCGAATTGCGAGGTACCCCCGCTTTCCACAGATGGAGTTTGTTATCCCAAAGTGACAGATAACTGTCGATCTCGCCGGAATCCGTCGCTGATCCGGTCCCAATGATAGATCTGCATAGAGTGGCAGACTTCCTACACCAACTATTTATGATAATTATTATTTCCGATAATTATCTAATACTGCGGATAAAACCATCGGGATACCACTCGATCAGGGACAGAAAGAAGTAGTAGTAGCAAGATTCATAAGCGATCCTTTCTTTTTTCTGGGGTCGACCCCGGGATGACCGAAGAAGCCGATATCAGTGGAGACCTGCTATCGAACAAGGGATTCCAGGGTTGCGCCCAGGTGGCGCAGAAGAAGCATCCCCAGGCCTGAACCTAGGATTTCTTCCAATCACCCACTTGGAACCACCCAATTTGGTAAGGCGACCTTTTATTAATTTAAATGGCCCTACCGAGTGCAGGATCAGGGGCTACCTACCGGTAGACATTTTCGGGGGTTTTTAGTATATAGCTGCGTCCCCTCCCCGAGAATAATAAGTAGACTTATCCTATCTCCCTCCTGGCCCACCCAAACTAATCCAGGATGTTACTCAAATCAGTCCTGGCATCTGCTCTCCTGGCCCTTTCGCTGGGATCAGATATCGCGGCTGCTTTCAAACATGGACGCTTTGCAGAGATAGCTCGTGCACCACAGGAGAAGGCTAAACGAATAGTCGAGGCTCGTAACCACAAACCGAAGAAATCGGACAAGGATTACCGCTTCTTGACCAAGAAAACCAAGCGTGAGTGTCGAGTTATATCATTGTCAGCAGCAAAAATACTAATCGACCCATAGATTACCTGGTGGACTCCCTGCCGGAGGTTGCATTTGATATTGGCGAGATGTATTCTGGTCTGGTGCCAATTGATATGGACAATAGCTCCAGATCGCTCTTCTTCATTTTCCAGCCTACCATCAACGAGCCCGTAGACGAAGTAACCATCTGGCTCAACGGTGGCCCTGGATGCAGTTCGATGGAGAGTTTCTTGCAAGAGACTGGTCGCTTCATATGGCAACCTGGTACTTTTGCCCCGGTTGAGAACCCTTATGCTTGGGTCAACCTTACCAATGTTCTGTGGTAAGTAGTTATCATGCACATGAACCTAAAAGAAACTTGTTAAAATTTCGCAGGGTCGACCAGCCCGTCGGAACGGGTTACTCCGTTGGCACACCAACTGCTATTTCACAAGAGGAGACCGCACAGGACTTTATCAAGTTCTTCAAGAACTTCCAGAAGATCTTTGGAATCAAGAACTTCAAGATCTATGTCACTGGTGAGAGTTATGCTGGACGTTATGTGCCTTACATCTCAGCTGCGATGCTCGATGAAAAGGACAAGGAGTATTTCGATCTAGACGGTGAGTTATTACAAATATTCAGAATTCTGGGAAGCAAATTCTGACTATTTACCAAGGTGCGCTGGCATACGACCCCTGCATTGGACAGTTCGACACCATTCAGGAACAACTGCCCGTTGTTCCCTTTGTCCACGAAAATGCGAACCTGTTCAGCTTCAATAAATCATTCATGGCAGAGCTTGACAGAAAGCACAAATCCTGCGGATACGAGGCATTCATCGACAAGTACCTCACTTTCCCGCCGCCCGAAGTTCAACCACCCTTGTTAGGCAGCAGCTTAGACGACGAATGTGATCTGTTTGACCTCGTCAACGACGAAATCCTCCACATCAACCCATGCTTCGACGTCTACGAGATCAACCAGATGTGCCCGCTCCTCTGGGACGTTCTCGGCTTCCCCACCTCGCTCGACTACACAGCACCTGGAGCAAGCGTCTACTTCGATCGCAAAGATGTCAAGCACGCGCTACACGCACCCAAGGGCACCTGGAGCGGCTGTTCCGCAGAGCCCGTATACGTTGGTGGCAACGCTGGCCCGGAGCAAGAAGGCGATATTTCAGCGAACCCGATCGAGCACGTCTTGCCGCAGGTTATTGAGGCTACTAATCGCGTTCTCATTTCAAATGGTGACTTGGATATGGTTGTCCTCACCAACGGTACGCTGTTGGCCATCCAGAATATGACCTGGAACGGCAACCTCGGTTTCCAGAATAAGCCAAACACCTCCATCGACATTAAGATTCCGGATCTCATGTACGCCAACGTCTTTGCTGAGAATGGCCAGACTGGTGTCGATGGACCCCAGGGTGTCATGGGTGTTCAGCACTATGAGCGTGGTCTGATGTGGGCTCAGAGTTTCCAGTCTGGTCACATGCAACCGCAGTACCAGCCTCGCGTGGCTTATCGTCACCTTGAATGGCTGCTCAGACGTACCGAGGAACTCTAGTGGCTTACTAGAAGATCTTATATATGGTCATTCGGTGATAATTTACCGAGTGAGTGATGGCGAATTGATGTATGTCTCTCTATTTGCCGAGCGGAATGGTGGTGTTTGGGTTGTACAAAGAGAGAGGCCCTGTCACGAACGCCCAACATTGTCCCTTTCATTATGTATAGAATAAAGTATTGGCAGACCTAGGATCTGCTTCATATGTTAGTCTTGTACACGATATAACGCAATTAATGGACTTTTGTTATTTGAATCGCATCAAAGCTTGGCGCAAAGCATGTGCAATCTCTTGCAGCGATCGACAACGTACTCTAATGTATACATCGTAAGCTGGTGACGGGTGGTGTGGTCCAGCAGTGTGGAGCTTGATAATTGTTCAGAGTTCCAGTCAATCACAGTCAAGTGTAATTACACTACCGGTTACTAATTCGAAAATTAAATGGGACAAACAATGTACGATGTACAAAGTATGGACGGCATACATGCTCTTCAACTCATGCTCTCACGAGTGAGTACATTGGCCGAGAAATTCATATCTAGAGGCAACACTTGCTGCAACTACAACTTACGCATTGTATAAATAAGATAATCGAGTACTCCGTGAAGGTAAAATCTGTCAGTGGAGTTTATTGTTCCTGGGCTTCCCAGTTTCCGGATTGACTTTCCGGTCTGAAACGAAACAAATAACCGGTTCAGAATGTCATAGAAGTATCATAGCCGAGAGCCACTCATTCTCCACATTGTACAGAGTACGTTGAGTCTCCCAACTCGAGAATATGAGCATTTGCCGACAAGCTACTCCGTACTCCGTAGTATGGGCTGGTACCGTATGGCGGCAGAACACCGGGTTAATCCCAAAATGGTAAGTTGCAGTAATTTATCCGGGAAAGCGCGTGCTTCCAAGGTTGGAACCTTTGGAAGGTTACACGAGGTTACAGAAAGTTTACAGGAGTATTTAAGGACTTTGATTGGCCGAAATCAATGGCGAATTCCCCTGGGCCTGAATGCGGCATGGATGTGCCTCCGCCAAGACTCACGAGCTTCAATGGTGAGTTCAACTCTTTTTTTGCTTCTCTTGTTCTACAATGTTGTAGCGTTGGTTTTGATATTTGTGACAATCTGGGATTGATGTTATATTGAAGTGAAAACAAAAACATGTTGGGTATCTTGGGAAAGGGGGAAAGAGGAGACAGGAACAAAGTAACTAGAGGGGTGACGTTCAAGCATAGCACGCACGCATGCGGTTTCTTGATCTCATTCCTTTGCCCCAAACAAGAGTAGTGGGAGTGTATGGAGTACGGCTAAAGTGGTGTCACTGCAAAAATTTTCCTGGTGGAGCATGGAGGCCAATTGGGTCTCGGCTCAGGGCCAGGTCAATTTGTTCATTATTTCGACCCTTTCCGATATATGATATGTTTCTACAAAAGTTGTACATGATGTGCCGATAGTTATACGGGCCCTTCTGAGTTCTGCATACAGAGTGGTCATATAGGTATAAAGGTAGAGCAGGCGAGGACCCTTGAGGCTGAATAGAGTATGTCGGATTTGCCTTGGTGGCGTTCGACCGATCCAAAGAACATCGAAGGACCGTGCTTCAAGTAAAAGCGGCCAACGTCGGCCACTCCCCGATCTTTAGAGATTCTTTTTTAAGCTATTCCCTGTGTGGTTGTGAATTATTAACCAACGTCAACAATTTTATTAATATAATACGCCTATGTGTACGGAGTACGGGAGTATGGTGTACGCTATAGTGGAACCGCCTTTTTCTCGCACGGGACCGCCCTTGGATTCTGCCCGTCCTTCCAGTCATAAAAGCTGTCGGATTTACTAATATTGAAATGTTAAGTATGAGGATGTGATTAACTATAGCTATAGAAAGCAAGAAACCAAGAGGAGATAGGTAATGTATATGGTAAACCTTGGAAGTATTCAGACTAGAGAGATCCTTGCTAGCAGTTCATCTATAGACGATAGTAAAGCGGTGTCTATCCGAAAACATATCAAGTCCAAGTGCCAAGTATGTACACCTGGTTTGCTCGCCGAGGGCAACGGGAATATCGGAATATCAAATGTACGGAGTACTCCGTACTCCTTAGTCTACTCCATAAAGAACCCGACCCCAGTCCCGGGGCCGAGCCAGTCCTTTTTTTTTTCTAGTATTCGAATTACAGACCATACTATCACACCTTTTTCCCTATAGTCCCACTTCTGGGTCTTGGCCAATGATGACATAGTACCTAGTCTAGGTACTAGAGAACCAGTTGGTAATATGAAAAAAGGAATGTAATAATAAAAAATAAAAAAACTGGAAGCATATTGCCCATCCTTGGGATGCCCCCAATAGTATATAGCAACTCTAGAATCCCACCTCATTTCCGTTTTTCTCTTCTTTCCTCTTCTGTCAATTCCTAATTTTTTCCTCTCTCAAACCATCTTGGATAAGGTATAGCTACCCCCAGCTTGTCTTATTTCATTATATCTTGCGAGAGCTCCGTCTCTTAGCTTTCTTCTATCTTATATCCCTGTGGCAGAACTTCTGGTTCACGCTCTTGGATCATTTCTATTGTTCATCACCACCCTGTGAAAAGAAATCAATTTCAACAAAGACCAAGCACGAGGTACTTCAGATCCGCTCTTCAGTAGCAATCTTGCATCACCCTCGCGACAACGATCAGATCGACAACGATTGCGACAAAATCCAGCATCGATAGCAACAAGCCCATCTGCAAGCCTCGACAGCAGTATATATCGACCATTGTCCTTGCGCCACTTTCGGCCCACAGCGAATTGCCCCCGGATTCACGATATATGACCCCATTGCAGCTCCCCACACCTGTAGATCCACCCTCGGCCTCTCACGGAATCCCCAGCGACATTTGAACGGAATAGAACGAGCGAAAAGCGACATATTTGACAGAAAGCAGCAAATCCCAGGCAGTTGAAAAATATATTCCAAAGCGCCATATAGAACCGTCATTATGGGTCTCGAAAAATTTAACCCCTTCAAAAGGGATAGTCCGAACTTCTCCGACGTTGTGATCCCACTCGCCGATGGACCTGCTCACTTGGTTTCGGAAAAAACAGACAAGGAGACCAGCCCGAGCCTGGATGGTGCATCTTCCTCGGAGAATGGTGCTGCCGGCCCCAAGGGTTCAACTACTCTGACCCTTGAAGCTCTTCGTGCAGAGATCGAGGCTGATGTCTCCACTTCTACCAATGACTCTGCTTATGACCGTATGTTTCTCCTAGATTTTCTCACTGGTCCCTGCGTGGAAGCTTCATGCAATTGGATTTTTGATCTAACTCGAGGACAGGCAAGGCAAAGGTGATCAATCGAGCCCTACAGGATATTGGCATGGGCCGGTATCAATGGCAACTGTTCTTCCTTTGTGGTTTTGGTTGGACAGCAGACAACATTTGGCTTCAGGTAGGATTTCAAAACCAAATGGATTACATAGATCAAATCTAACCATGTGTAGGGAGTTGCCCTGACGCTGACGCCTATCTCCTACGAATTTGGAATCTCCGATACATGGGTGCGTTTCACCACTTGTGCTCTATTCTTGGGTCTCTGTATTGGTGCCTCATTCTGGGGTATTGCCTCTGATATTGTTGGTCGTCGTCTTGCTTTCAACGCCACTCTATTCATGGCTGGTGCATTTGGTCTGGCTGCTGCTGGTGGTCCCACTTGGATTGGGTAAGTTCTTTTTTTGAGAACAACGGATTTTGTATATTTCGCTAATCATGAATGCAGAACATGTGCCCTGTTCGCTTGCTTGGGTCTTGGTGTGGGCGGTAACCTGCCAGTCGATGGTGCTCTTTTCCTGGAGTTCCTTCCCTTTATCTCCGGCAACATGTTGACCATGTTGAGTGTCTGGTGGCCCGTTGGCCAGCTAATTGGTAGTCTGCTTGCGTGGGCTTTCATCCCTAACTTCAGCTGCACTAGCCATGAAGGCTGCACCAAGGAGAACAACATGGGCTGGCGCTACCTGGTCCTCACCCTGGGAGCCATCACTTTTGTCATGTTCATTCTGCGTTTCTTCTGCTTCCACTTGTACGAGTCACCCAAGTTCCTGCTCTCCCGTGGCCGCCAGGAAGAAGCTGTCGCTTCCATTCATGGCATTGCCCACAAGAACGGCACCAAGACCTGGCTGACCAGCGAGATCCTCAACGAAATTGGCGGTCATGCCGAGGTGCAGGAGAAGGAGACAGGCCTCAGCTACTCTCAAATCCTGGGTCGTTTATTCTCCAAATTCTCAATGGAGCGCATTGCGCCCCTGTTCGCCAACAAGCGCATGGGCTACAATACTGTTCTTCTCTGGTTCTGCTGGGCTACTATCGGCATGGGATATCCTCTCTTCAACGCCTTCTTGCCCCAGTACCTCTCCCAATCCGGTGGTGTGGCCAACTCGAACTACATCACCTACCGCAATTACGCCATCACCTCCATCGTTGGTGTCCCCGGCTCCGTTTTGGCTTGCTGGACAGTTGAGATCAAGTACATTGGTCGTAAGGGCACAATGGCCATCTCCACCCTGATCACCGGTGTGTTGCTGTTCTGCTTCACCGCATCCACAAACTCCGACATTCAGCTCCTGTGCAGTTGTCTCGAGGCCTTCTTCCAGAACATCATGTATGGTGTCCTGTACGCCTACACCCCTGAGACCTTCCCTGCCCCCAACCGCGGTACTGGCACTGGTATCTCCAGCTGCTTGAACCGTATCGCTGGTCTCTGTGCTCCCCTTGTCGCCATCTATGCTGGTAGTGCGAACCCCAACTCGCCCATCTATGCCTCTGGCGCGTTGATTCTGGCTTCCTTTGTGGCTATGTGTCTCCTACCCATTGAGACTCGGGGCAGGCAGACTCTTTAAGAAGCAATGTGTTGAGTCACTTGTTTCAGTTTGCCAAAACCGTCTTGCACACTGTCGATTCTTACACAGCCTTCTGCTTGTGTTGGAAAGTGCACGATGAAAACACGACCCAAAAAAAGGACAGCA